TAATCTTTTTCTCTCTTTATCTCTTTCACTTTCTCGTGTATAAAATCTTTGCCGATCATACTTCTGCTGCACGATCTTCCAACTACAGACGTGAACGGATTATGTAATGTATGTATATAACACCAGTCGATCCATGAACGTGTTCATCGCGGGAGACAATGTTCACGCTTGTTGATCCATTACGGCGTGTCGGTGCGGCGCGAATCGCCGATTCTTACGCGCGCACCTTGTTGGTACACCGGCGGCATCGCCCTTTCTCACGGAACAATTCCGCGCGAGGTCGCGCGGTGGAACGAAAACACGCGTGTGGAATTTCTAGCGCGAGCCCGCCGACGCAAATTCTCAACCTCGGGGTTCGTCCCCGTGTAGAATTCAGCGCGCGATTGAAGGCGGTGGCGCGCTCTGCCCTTCGCGCGAGCGCCGCTCTCCCATATAAGGGATCTCGAGAGCGAGCAACAACAGCCTGGGGATCTCCTTCGGTAGCGGCCAACAAAAGTTGCAGCGCGCTCGCTTTTATTGGTTAACGCTTCATTCCCCGTGCGACGGCTCGCCGCGGTCGCTCGGCATTCATTCGGCAGCAATGCAACGTAATGTTACGCCGGCGATGCGTAGGTGAGATACACGTGTAACGTATAATCCAACGCGTTAAAAGAATGGTGGGTTAGAGTTGAAACACAATGCGGTATACGGTATTGTTTCCGCAGGATCGTACAAAGGGAGGCGATGAGTAGACTGGAACAATAGCAACTACCAATCTGGTCCTAATTGTTAGCTGATTGTGAGCTTCTATTTCATGGGAGGAGGCAACGTCTCCCGATAAAAATCCTGCTTTTAATTTAAACGATAATTAACACTGATCAAACAAAGAACTTGGTTTACTAAACCAGTCCTTATTGCGGAACAATGTTCTTGAAAAATACATGTATTCGTAAAAGGAGTTGCGATAATTAGGAAAGGCAGTAACGTAAAAGTCATCCGCAGATGTTAGTTGCATATGCGACAGGACCGTTTGAAGTTATCCTGAAACGTCGCTCATATCTGCCTGCCATTTCGTAACACGACAGGTGTAATAATGACTGAGACAGTCAGAAGTAGCTATGAAACGGACGCGACTTTTAATGGCAGAGAACTGTTAGGAGCTTATGTCTTAGAGTGGTGTATTACGTGGTAACTTTACGCCGTTGAATAATTAAAAGAAAAAGGAAACATTTTATGCGCCATAAATATTGTTTCGCTGTGACGCTATCGACGGGCGACTTTTAAGAAATTTAAGGTTTCGTCCGCAAATAATAGCGCAAACGTCGTTGAAAATTGATTTATGCATGATTCATCGTGCAACGCATATATGCGCTAGTGCCGACCTGTGTCAACTTAATCGATAAATTAACAGCTGCGGAGATAAATGTGAGCCAAACAGGTGCAACAGATGTTACCTCAATATCTAGTGCTCCAGTTTATTATAATTCTATTGCTCGAACTTTCGAACCATGAATGATCTCTTTTACCGGTTAATTGAAAGACTACTAGGATTGCAATTTAAAATTACTATAATTGTTACAACTTGCTATAATTAAGCTAGGCCTAATTGCAGAGGCCTGATTTCGGGTCACTAATTCTTGTATTGCCTTCTACACCTGTGCCTCAGATAAAAAAAGAATTCGACGATCGACCGAGCGTCCAAGAACGAATTCTTTGAACTCACTGCGTGTAGTTTAACGTGACGTGGTTCCGACTGAGTGATCTCTTAAGGTTATAACCGCGAGATTCCTCAGGTCGAGGATTCGAGCTCGGCAAGAAAGAAGCCGTTATTTTTCGAGGATTCTCCGTCTTTTCCCAGGTCACGGTCGGATGCAACCTCGCGGATATTCCTGGCGAAGTCTCTTTATCTCGAGACGAACTGGCATTCGCTTGCGACAAATTTATGTCGTTTACCGTAGACAGCATGCTTTTCTAAGCTTATCTGCAGTGCGGTCATTCAAATTAACATGCAAAATTAAAGATTAAAATAATTAAGAAAGTATTATTGATCGCGATTATGGCGTACGTAAGTTACTAAGCAGTACTGCGGTTTCTAATGCGTTATCTACATTCACTTAAATGAATAGATTTTATTATATGTTATGGATACACAGCAGAGGGGCCCACGAGCCGCGATTTTAGCGAGGGGGCACGAGACGCACAATAAATATCGCAAATCGCAACGCGCATTTATATCGTACACGAACGTTTCCTATATGTTCGCCAATTTAAATTCCGCTTAACGCGCGTCTTGGCCCGCGGGCATATCTGATAAGTCTACGCGCATAATTTAAGAAGAGGGCAGTCCTCCCCCATTCCCCCTCGCGTTCACGAGACGCAGTGACGCGCGAATAATTTAATAACACATGCTCCTGGAGCCGGAGCGCATCTTCGCGAGCTCCGTACCATTGCACGTCGGCGCACGACGAGTACGCGAGGGGGACCTAACATCGTGTTTGTGGAAGGTATAATTGATGCAGGACCAGCCGGGAGATCGCGTTTGCCCTTAAGAGTTTGGAACTGGGTGGAGAAAATATAGGTTGTCTTCGTTACCCGGCCTTTGGTGCGCGCCCGGTCGCCCGCGGTGCAACACGAGGATGATATATTCGCTGCAACTGCAGCTGCGCCGTGCCACGCCGCGCCGCGCCGCGCCGCATCGCGCGAGTCGAACGGCCATGCCGCCTCGGTCGTTTCGTGAGATTTCAAAACTGTCTGCTCCACGCTACCTCGCGAAAACAATGAGGCATCTTCCTCGTCAAGCTGTAGGTGGACACGTTTTTTAATGTATGCAACTAGTACCAAAGTCATGTCGAATTCATAAGACAACTTTGTTCTCCCTTTGGAATGTGAAATCAATAAGTTGTCAAATAAGACGCTCAGAAGAAGCTATCTTTTTATAATATATAATTTGATTGTGAATCGAATTTACAATGCGTATTCAAATAATTTCATAATTTGGATTACAATTGTACAAGGTCAAAAGAATTGAGCGCGTGATGTGAGTATAGCATGATGGACGAACGGAAATGTGGAATTACTCTTTCTCTTAATAACTAGTTTCCAGTAACGTTTCGAAGGGGAATCCGAGATTTTTCTGCGCCAGGACAAAGACGGTCGTACGTAGCTCAGTTTCACGGCGTGAACAGTTTCTTGCGCGCGTCGTGTGAATGACTTAAACTAATTAGCGTTTTGCGCGAGGCGACCGTGAAGAGGCGGCTTTTCTCGCGCGTGGCTGACTCTTCGTACTCCGTACCGTTAGAACCGCGAATGCATCGAGAATCCGAAACAGTGTCGGGCCTATTTACCGTAATCAATGATTATGCGTTTTACTGTCGGCGATTATGCGAGCCTCATTGTTACCGCGAGATCTCCCTGGACTCGCGCCTAGCAATATAGATTCCCTGTTGCGCGATGAATTCCCTTGATATTTCTTCGCGCGATGCGCACGTAGATAAATCGTAGATTAGAAGTCGCTTGGCGAAACGGTCAGCGAGCACCTACATTCAGCCCAGCGGCATGAATGCAACACCTGTTAGATTCCAAGTTCACGACGCGTATTATTGCTAGTTGAACGATGATCAGTAAAAATAAGTTACTTAAAAGGAAACAATTAGTTGTGTGTGAAATTAGTACAATTCAATAATACAATTATACGAAACTCTGTGTAAACTTAATTTACTTAAGGCTTGATTAATCCAATTTTGCATATTGTTTAGGCTTAGCTTAAAGGATTTAAAAGATGAATCCTTCACTTACAATACATCCAATATTATTGAAATCGATCGTCGTGCAGTACGAAAGCACAAAGATCGACAGGCGCTTCCTTCGGTGACAAATAACCCTCGCACTTACGAGTACCCTCCGAAAGCCGGCCAATTAGACGCTATCTGTGCGAGAGGAAGGAGAGAGAAAGACAGGGAGGGAGAGAGAGAGAGAGAGAAAGAAAAGAGACCTGAATGCCCAGCGGCATGAATGCACGGCCTCGATCTCCGCGTCGATCCCGATCCCCCTTCTTCAACGAGGGAGCCCGACATGCGCGAAGGAAGGAGACCGGTCTGCCGTTGCGTGTGCGGCTCGCATTACGGCGCTGAATATTTCATTCATAAGCGGGCCCGAGCAATTACCGTATTCCACGAACGTGTGGTGCGCGCAAGGGACGTCCGCGATCGCGCTTACGTACACGCGCGTACCGCACGCTGCACCCCGCGGTCGTTGCAGCTGCAATTACGCGAGGCGCGGCCCCCCCAGCGCCAGTGAATGAAACACATCCGCGCTCCTATGCCTTTTTTCATCTCCTTCTCTTTTTCCTCTCTTTGCCCCCTTCCGTTTCGCGTTCCGCCTTCGCGGCCGTCTTCCTCCGCTCCTTTTCTTCCTCTTCTCCGATTTCCTCCCGACAGGCGGACCAATATTGACTTTTTGCACGCCGACGGAAATAGCGATCCCGCCTTCCCCATCCGATCGTGTCTCGCGTGAGACGAATTCGCGGGATTCCGCGCGACAGCGAGGTCGCAGCTGCCGCGAGGGAACGATCCTCGGCCGCGATTCGAGCCGGTCGGAGGTCGACGGTACATGCGTACGTGTCCCGATCCGCACGTGGAGGTATGCGTCGGAAACCGAGAAATATACAAAAGAGTAGCGTTAACGAACGGGCGTTCCGCACAACCAGAGTTTTAGATGCCGCGAATTCCAATAATATCCGTGTCTCCACTAGACCTTTGCTTACAAATTAACGATCATGAAATAAAGACTCGGAGATATCATTGACAAAAAATTAACGTTTATAATAATTAGCATATCATTATAGTAGAGCGCTATTGATATTTCTAATATAAATCTTCGGTATATATATTAGGAAACATAATTTTTTATCCAACAGTTTTCGACTCTGCGCTCTCAGGATAATTTAAAAGAGACCAACGAAAATCCTTTCGCTCGTCGCAGAGTGTATCGCTAATAACACGCTGTCACATTTCTGCTTGCAGAATTTCCGGGAGCACCGTATAGACGGTGCGGCACTGCCGCTACTCTCGGAGAACCACCTGACAGGCACGATGGGCATGAAGCTCGGTCCAGCCTTGAAGCTGCGCGTGATGTTGGCTCGGAAACTCGGTGCCTGCACGGTATGCTTGCACTGTGCCCACTGTCACCAAACGCCGCTACCGGCGTTGAGCGCAGCGGCCGCGGCGGTGACGCAACAGCAACAACAGCAGCAGCAGCAACAACAACAACAGACGCCGAGTCGGCGACCCAGCAGCACAGGGAACTGACAAACAATGGCGGAGACTCCCCTATTGAGGTCCGAGACAGCACCGGTCAGCGTGACCCTGGCGCCATCGTCTCCGGACCCGAACCGGGCCCTCAGGATAGAACGGCGCGTACCCCGCCCGGTACGCAAGCCGGAAGTCGTCTTCAAAAAGCCTATCAAGCAGTGACACGCGAACGGCGTGCTCAATCGGAAGAAGACGATTTCGTATATCATGGAGACTCCGCCATGTTGTCAGTAATTAAGCACCCGGAAGAACTTTTAGAGATAGAAACTCAGACCGAGAGAGTTTTAGCTGAGATTGGACTGCAAGATATGAAAGAGAGAGAGAAAAAGAGTGAGAGGGAGGGTTCGATTAACGTAGCGCGCATAGCATATAGAGCGTTGAATACTCGAGAATGGAAATATTTTTGAGTATTCGATCCTTGATTTCCATCGATCATCAGGATAATCTAAAGCCTAAACTGTAGAGACCTGAAGTACTGTATTTTAGCGAAACTGCAAGCTTCGACTGTATCGGCGGATTACGTAGAACTTAGACGCAGCATGACGAAGGTATGTTAATTAATAATTGCCCGGACATGAATGAAACTGAAGATTAAAGGATTGAGACAAACTCAGCTTCATTTTTGATTGCTTACTGAACGAGCAATATTTGGATAGAGAAACGGAGAAATATTTTTGAAAATTCTACATGTATAGCAATGATAGAGTGAAACCGTTGAATAGTTACAAGCGCGTGGAAAAACGGTCGGAGAAAGAATTTTAGCTGAATCACGATAGTGTACATACATTGCTGCGAGAATAGATCTACGTATGATAATTGAAGAATTAGTCAACTAACGATTTTTGCACTTGAATGTGTATTTATTTTATTTAAAACTATATTCTGATAAATCTATTAGATAATTTGGCTAAAGATTTAATCTTTATTTGCACCTAGGAGATTGTATCAAATTCAATAGAAGTCACAATCAACGGATAAAGGAATGATGAATATTAATTTCCGTTCGTATTTAAATAACAGAAATAATATCCATACAAAAATATGACGGCATAGATCTATGTGGAGATTTGTAAAAATATAGGTAATTTTAAAACTTGTTATGATCTCTATGGATTCAGTACTTAAATAGTATATTTTGCACTGTGAGAAATAGAAAATTAGGAATGCATGTTGAACATATAACATACATTGTTCACATTGCGTAATATACGATTATCTTCCATCGATGACAAATATATCAGGGATACATTTTTGTTTAAATTATTTATTTAAATATTTTATTAAACAAATATTAAATATAAATTTCCGCTTTCCAAGTCTATAAATAAGCAATTTTTGTTTTTTATTTTTTCTATACTAACATGTTTAAAAACTTTTCTAAAATGTTTGGTAAACTAAAAAATAGAAAAGGTACTTTCTCAAAATTACGTTGATCATTAAAATGGAATTAATATATTTGATTTTCTTTTTGAAGGCGAGAAACTAATAGATAATAAATCAAACGAGTGCCTATCTTCGTAAAGTCTTCCAAGACGACGTTGTCGAGTGATCGTTCGGATAAATTTCCGATGCGTGATGGGACATTATATATTATTTTTGATTACATGAAATCATCTTGATTGTCGATCGACAACTTTCTCGAACGGCCGAACTCGTATTTTTGTACGTCATGCGAAAAGTCGACGAAATGAGGAACCACTAACTCGATGTCGGAAAAGAGGAAGAAAAAAAATAAAGAGAGGAGGTGTGCGTGAGAGGTACCCGTATATGTGTACATATGTCGGAACGATTGCAATTACGTGCGAGTGTGTGAAGCGCAAGTAAGTATAGATATATTAAAAGAATACGATCTATATATGTATACATAATCAGCGAGAAGAATTACGTGCAATAACAATAAATATACGTTTCGACGCGATAACTTTTAACTACCGTAGGAGATACGTACTTGCTCAAATCGTTGTTTCTTTTATATATTTTAACGAAGTTTTTTATATGGATGAGAATTATTACGATAAATATACTAAATTATATTTTTGCTAATGTGCTCTATGTGCAGGAATAAGAATCCACGTGCGAGCACACACATACACGAAAGGGAAAAACATACACATACACACAGAGACATCGACACGCGCGATACATAGACGCGACGACGACAGTTTCACGCGCGACGGACCCGTGTAGCTCTTTAGGAATTGTACATTACAGCGCGCCTCTTTTATTTTGTGTCCCCCTTAATCTACAAGATTCATGCGACGTCAAACGTTTATTTATTTAGAGATGTAGTACCCGTTTTGCCTTATTGTATTCACGTAACGATTAGGATGTAAATGGTGGTAGGGCGACGACGTCAAACTGCGCTTACATGTACCATTCGCGGAAGAAAATTTGCGTGGCAAACGAATCGGTTCGTAAGATGAGCAGTATTTTTTAGATTTACACACACAGACAGACACACAAGACACGCATATACAAACATTTGTCTGAATTTACTGCAGACCATATAAACTTATAATTGTATATACATATACACATGATGCCTAAACAGCACGTTCCCACACGTGCGCCCGCGCTCCCGAGTTTGCGTTTCGCTGAAGAAAAAGAAAAAAAAGAAGACGCGAAAATACTAGAAACTGCAGCATTTCGAAATTTATCCAAGTGTGTTCTATTTAATCAGTAAGACCGATCAGAAGTCGCGGTGAAAGAAGGAAATTCTTTCGTATTTCCTGCGGCTGATTACACAAGCCCGTTACTACTCGTAGTACAAAATTATCAATGGTAATTAGACGCTGTAATCGCACGCGATATTACACTTGCTTCTACCTTACGCGGAATTGTAATTGTAGGTTGAGATTTGTTTACGTGCCTATTATTTATAATTAGCGATTACGCTAACTTTCGACATACATATGTATATATGAGAATGACGTAACGAAACATTTCTTCTCGTTTGACGTATTTAACAGACGCGCAACGCTCATTCGGCAACTTCTTATTTCGAACAAACGACATCACTTTTCTTCTATCGTATGACGAACTCGGGCGCGCTAACACTAATCGAGTTAGCGGCTTTTACTTAAACAAGACCACTGTACATAACGCTTAAGCATTTATTTATGTCGTGCTTCTACAAATACCCCGTAGTATTTTATTTAGTATCTTAGTCGCGAGATTCACGCTGTTAATGCGTAATTACGAGCGTTACGCATTAATCATTTCGTGCAGCATGTTCGTTCGATAAGGAAATAAGAACGGACGGGAGGAAGGAGTTAGAGCGATAAATGTGCTGACAGATTCTTTCAGCGAAGGATAATTTAACCGCACACATGGATTAGAAAGAGAGAGGTGGTAAAACACACCGACGATAAGGCAATTTTTTGTGATATTTCAAGATTTTCTATCCATCCTTCGGTATATCTCACTTCCTCAAAACCGATCGATTTTACGGTATGTGTCCACTCCATCTCACCCGATCTCCCTTCGACTTTTTTGTTTTTCCATCGCGAGTCTGTCGTGTATTACTTACGAATAACTGTCATATCATGTATAGTAGAAATTAATGGTGAAAAGAGGAAAAACAGTACATTGTTTCTGTTAAAATAAACATTGTTGAAAAATAACAGGTGTATTCCACTTAATTTTACCGATATATTCTCACAAACAGTGTGTTGCGTAATTATGGGATCTTCTTTGATAGTAAATATGAGTCAATCGAAATGGTTATTATCGGATTTGATAAAGTGACAAAAATAAATGAGAGTATTGTACTCTCTGGAATTCGATGAAATAATTGGATAAAAGAAAACAAAAGATTAGAGTACTGATATTCTAATCTATTGTGTGATACGCAAACACTCATATTTTATTCCTAACAAGTAAAAGTACACAAACAAATTATATTTTAAATAGTCGATCGTATAATTAATCCGAAGTGCAATTAAATTATATTAATCTTATACATTATGTAGCATTTTTTATTATACTTATATACTGTATCATAGCAAGCAATTTTTAATTCGTTCAATCAGATCTTTATGATTTCACCTTTGCCTGCAAAGAAATTAATCGTATTAAAAGTTTGTTATAAGTAATTGAGACGTATTATTACATTCGATTTAATTCCTTCAAACGTGATATTGAAAGTGCCATTAATATTCCAATTAATAATTTATTGCTATAAAAACCTTATTAATATAAACATTATTTAACGAGAGAATATTATTTAAACAAATTCTAAAATTAAGAAATTTATAATTCTAAAATTAAGAATACGAGTTATTCTTTAAAAAAGGCGCAATGTAGATACATTATCGTAAAATAAACGTAATAAAACATTTCATTTTGAAGGAACTAAACGAACGACAAACAAAACTACTTACCCCTCGATGAATAGCGAGCACACCGTCTTCCTGGTTCAAAGGGATTTCTATGTACGCCTTTCTATCTTGATCCACTGTTACGACTTTACCAGTACACTTGTTGTTCTCCAAGTTCCCGGATATGACGTCGCAGTAAGTGCCAGGTTCCACACAGGTAAAGAGAGTCTGCTTCAAATCATATTTGTCACCATTGATCGCGATGAAGCCCGCGTTTCCGCGACAGAAGGCGATCTGATTCTGGCCGTTGTCCCACCAGTTGTTGACGTCGGTATTATTCGCGGCATTTCGGAAGCGCACCATGTTGTAAATCTGACGCCATCGATGCTCGCAGACCCAGCCGTTGCCGCAGGTATCGTCAGGATTGATGGTTGGAGATAGGAGATTGCCGACGGAGTCCTGCGGCGGGTTGGCGTCGAAAGTATCAAACTTGAAGGAACTCATGATCCGCGCGGTCCCGTAGGGATGCGCCAGCATGAAAGCCACGGCCATCTGTAATGTCACTTGTTATTGATTCCACCCTCGGATAAAGATAAAGTAATTCAGTCTCCGTATTTCTATATGTTTTTAATTTCTCCAGTTTTTTCGAGAATCACTTGCCTTGTATAGCTTCGATGACTTGTAGGTGAGGATATTGGGGTTGCCACGTTGAGTATCGTGATTGTCGATAAATACCAGAGCATCTTGAGACGGTAACAGGCCCCAAGCTTCTCCCCAATTGACAAACCATTTCAACGGATTGTTTCCGTTCAAGGAGTTGCTGATCTCCATGCCGTATCGGAATTCCGTTACCGCGCCGAAAGAGTTGTATTCATATTTGCTGATTGCCTCGCCGCCGTAATCGATTACCTCTTGAACTATATAGGGCCGCGCGTCTGAAGGGAAATGATGCTCGGGATTGAGATTTTTCAACCGAGAGAAGATCGTTTTTAGATCTTCCGGCCACATGTGTTTAGCTGCGTCTACTCTAAAATCCAGAAATTAGTGGGATTTTTATCTCGATAAAATATGAATATGCATGTATCTTATTTAATTATGGCTTAACTGACTTAAGAATACTACTAAAAATTTTATCGGATAAGTTAAATTAGCATAATATTTAATTTCCTTCATCGAAAGATGCCACTTTGTCGCGGAGGATTGACTGGGAAATATCGCAACGGAACTGCAAAGATTCTGCTTACCGAAAACCAGCGACTCCAGCGTCGACGGCTTCGTTCAAGAAATTGACGATCTTCTCTCTGACATATTCCTTCGACTGATCGAGATCATGCAGACCGACTAATTCGCAATTCCGCACATTTGCCGGGTCTTGATAATTATTGATGGCGCAAGGAGGATAGTGAAAATCGTACTGGGAATACGGTACCCCCGGATAGCTGAAGCCATGAGTATCCGCTGTCGTACCGCCGGTACCTTTTGCGTTATCGTGATCACCGGTCATGTGATTGAACACCACGTCGACGTAAATTCTCACGCCGGCGTTGTTACACCTGCGAACCATCTCCCTGAATTCGTCCGGCGTGCCCGATCTCGTGTACCATTTATAGGATATAGGCTGGTAACGTTCCCACCATGGTCTACTGCCTACGATCACATTCTCTTGGATCGGAGAAACCTGCAACAATTTATTAGGATTCGTTCTAATCATCCGCTCGATAATACACGTGATTAACGGATTAACGGATTGTTCCGTTCTACTTAGTCGCGGAATTTAGGTAAATGTTTTTCGGAGCAGATCAAAACAAACCTTTGTCAATTAATTAACAATTTCCTTGTTAGTTTTAACTCTCAATCTAACATTTAAAAAAATATTATTTTACCAGATTTTTCATAAAATTTTCTGCGGACATATTTCGCGTCATTGTCTCCGCTAAATATTTCTTATCTACCTATCTCACCTGCACGCCACCGAATCCCATGGGACCGAGGAATCTTTCACATTCATCTGCGATATCGTGCCATTTCCATTCAAAAAGATGTACCATCCCATCATGACCGGGTACGTAGTGCAGCTCTTTCTGAGCGGCTACCGTTGACAGGATCGCTAACGCACACACTAGCACTCGCATCATGCTCGTTGATGACTGATGCGCGAAATACCAGTCTCGGAAATATATAACCACATCGGCTGCCTGCACGAAGGTCAGTATTGCTTTTCTGGCTACGAATGCGCGTGTCGTTTTAATGACCACTCTATATTATTTTGTGTCAACTGCGCCGGCAAAAACACATTTATCGCACAAATATCGATAAATACATCTTGCAAGTACTCTAATTAATTATTCTTTTATCTAAGAATTTTTATTGACGAATATTGAACAAGGTGGCAGCTGTAATAACAGTTAACAAAATTTGCATAAACAAGCGTTATCTGACTGCAGTTACTTTGGCAGAAAAGTGCGAAATCAAAAGAGTGAGAATTTATTTAAGAATTTTATCGCATTCACGAGAACAGGATTTTGTGGAAATATAACTGCATGAAACTTGATATTTTTTTCACGCGAAAATATTACTAAACTTCCTATTAAATTAATAATAATACTTAAAATATAGTTATTGAATATTATCATATATATTATTATGTTCCATAAAATTAATAGTATTACTATTCTCTAATTTAAAAAAGAGAAAAAATAGAGAAAAGTGTGAATGTGTAACACAATGTGACTTTTTACAACTTTTTGAAAGTTTTCATTGTTCAATCTTTAAATTCTCGTAATTTTGATAAACATGTCTGCACCATTATTATATTAATGATGGAATATATGTATGTAATTGGATTATATAATTGGCAAATATTTTTAAGCTGGAAATATCAGTTGATTCAGTGTTGATTCAGTCGGAAATTGCGTAACCATGAGTAATTCTTTTCATATCACGCTCTTTTCTAAAACTACGCTAATTGTCAGTTTCTCATTAACAAAACAAATCACGGACTTAAAACTTATCAGAGCCGCGATTCTGTAACTCGTTATGCAGTATCGTTATTGTTATATTGTCATTGCGCAGCTTTTTTACCATATAGCATACTTGCACAGCTACTGCACATAACGACAGCATAACGAGTTACAGAATCGCACTACAGACAGATTAGCTGAGGCAAGATTTTATTAATTCAAGAAATATTATGTTGAAGTTGATTGTCCTTACTCACTGAAGGAATGTGCAACATTCGATATAAGATCGTGATCTTGGTAACGTTTTTGAATGAAGTTTATATAAAAAAAAGCACTACGGTGAAACCTTCACAAATATAAACAAAGTCGTTTTTGTGAATTTTTTACACAAAAAAATGTTCACAGAATTAGATATTTCGGTAGAATTCTAGATATATTGAAGTATTTTTTTAACAATATATTGATGCAGATAATTAATAAGTAACGAAGAAATTTTATCTGTCTGTGGAGACTAGGTATTTTCTTGTCACTTAAATATTACATTTTTTACTTGCCTATTCCAAATCTTTAATAGATAAATTATTCGTGTAATATAAGAAAATATATAATATAATATAATATAATCGATAAAGTATTCGTGTTCGTAATATGTTAATTATGCCCGTGATTTATGGCACTTACGCACTCGCGTAAATAATAACACACTTTTTAAGAAAATGTTAACTTTAATGCGAAACACTATAGAGCGCTTTATAACTCGTGGACACTAAAGGGTACGGAAACGAGAAGTAAATAGATAAGTGGCAAAATTGTTAAGTCATACGTTCGAATCACAAACCGGATCCAAGCAGTCTCCAGATATCTACTTGTTGACATTTGACGAAACGATTTTTTTCTCTTTCTTCTTCTTCAATAGTTCCGTTATCGATCGGACACATTAGACAATAAATTACGAAACAAGACGCAGAGATGTAGTAAATATTATTACTCAAATGCAAAGAATGCAATTTTTTATTATTCAAGTGCAGTATTTAGACAACAGTGGTTACATAAGTTCATATTAGTCATATATAGATTCTTAAAATGTTGCGTATACAAGCTTATTATCCACACGTGCGTCATAGTTTCGCCTGCAAGCATACGAAAATTCAGATAATACTATCATATCTTTGTTATCTTTCTGTTTGTCGTTTTTTTTTATTGCACTGACCTGATTATGAAGAGCGAGCACACCTTCCGACTCGCTTGATAGAATCTCGACCGTAGCGGTGCCATCGTCGACAACTTGCACCGACTTTCCGCTGCATTTGCCGTCGACAACGTCTCCGGTTATGACATCACAATATGTCCCCGCTGGCAATCCGGTTTGTAACTTTTCGCGTAGATCACCCTCGACGTTAAAGGCGACGAAACCTTTGCCGCCGCGGGAGAAGGCGATCTGATTCTTCCCGTTGCTCCACCAATTCTCCAGCTTCTCGCCGTTTACTAGATTGCGGAATTTGACCATTTGCTGAATCTGCGGCCATCTGTGCTCGCAGACCCAACCGTTGACGCATTCACCGTTGACGATCTCAGGCGAAATGATGCTGCCATCCGAATTGGCCGGTGGGCCTTGACTGGGATCACTAAACGCGAAGGAGCTCATGACTCGAGCATGTCCGTAAGGATGAGCGAGCATAAAGGCTACTGCCATCTAAATAAGAAAAAAAAACAGGATATTTTAATATAGAGCAACTAAATCTCATTTATATTTATGATATTTTTCAAAGTATAAAAATCCACCTTGTACGGTTTCGGGTCCTTGTGCGTCAAAATGGAGGCTCCACCGGCACCGTGACCTCTCTGATTATCATGATTGTCAACCATGACTAACGCGTCTTTAGAGGGTATCAGTCTCCAAGCATTCTCGTCATCGAAATTTTGCAATCTCGCCAAATTGTCCTTACCGCGGAACATATTACCCAAAACAATGCCATACTGGAACTCAATGACACTTGCGATATCATTGTACTCGAACTTGCTGACTCCCTCGCCGCCGAGATCGATGACTTCCTGATAGATGTAACACTGCGCATTCTTCGGATACCCGTTCTTAGGGGATAGGTTCTTTATTTTTTTGTAAATAGCCTTAAGATCTTGTGGCCACATATGTTTGGCGGCGTCGATGCTGCAAAGATGTTAAAATACAATATTTAGGTATGCCTGTATCGAGAGATATGAATGTGACTACTTTACTATTCAGAATATACTATTTTAGTATATTTTTTTAGTGGAATGAGCAGAACAGCGCGATTAATAAAGAAATTATAATATTTTTATTTAATAACACAGAGAAAACCGATGACATTACGTGATACTACAAAACTACAACGTCGCGAATGAATTATTACTGTTCGAAAAATAAATCGTAATTAATTGATTAGTTTTATTAATAAAATCCCACGTGTCGTACAAAGTTGCACCGAGTAACTCGAGATTTTCCATGCATTTCGCCGCTCTTCCTGCACAGATATATCTTATTATAAATGACCGCCAATTCTGAATATCTTTTATTTCGTGTGCGGCACGCAGGCGGGATCGGTAGCTAACGCGGCTCCGGTCAGGGGTTCAACATCCCAAACAGTTATTTCCGCGCGCCGAATTATGTTCGTCGGCGGGAAGTCGGCTCGTTAATTAATTAACGCTATTCGGTCAATTAAGATTTTTACCGTTTGCTCGTGGATACCGCGAACTCCATTGAATTTAATCGTACATTCGCGATAACCACCTATGTGTATTTGCCAAAGGCACTTCTTGCGATGCAACACACGGTGGCTGACGCGCCGAAGGTCAGAGTTCATTGCAACTCGGAAAATGATGCGACCAGGTAGCGTTATTTATTTCCGTTTATTCATTCCGTAATTTACTTGTGGATAACACGCGATAGGATAGAAAATTATTTTACTTGTCGCAACTCCGTACTAACTGACCGAGTTATTTAGATTTAGGACATTTTTATTTGAATTGTTGCTGCATACTTATATTTGTCTTTTATTATAAATAAAATTTTATTAAGTACGGTATCATGCTGGAAATAAAGTTAGTTACTGCCATCATTATGAAAAGAATGCATGTGCCTTTAAAGAAACGAAAAAAAGAAAGAAATATGTATACGTGGAAGAAAGGTATGTCGCGATTCTCATTAAGAAACAAGATTACGGCCTTCTTGTTTTCGCTATAGCGTACCTACTGTTTCAAATAATGTCACGTAAAATTATCGTACGTGCAATACCGATAATTTGCAATCGCGTTAATTTTGACACGTAAGTAAATTACTGCAAGTGAAACGTCGCATATGAGAAAAAGAATTTAGATGTCGTAACAAAATCATTGTTGTTGCTGTAATATAAAAGCGAAATTTCGTAAATTGCTCAATATCTCTTTTGGTAGTAAAAAATATGTAGAAAAATCTTTCTGAGTAAATTTGATAATTTTAGAAATATTGCTGAAGCAGAACAATCTATTTGTTGTTGCAGCGAAATTGTGTAAATCACTACCTTATGACGGAGAGAGAATCATTCAGTTATTATAGCATGTTATAAATAATATTGTAGCAAAATTATTCTCTTAGCTTGTCACGTGCGTTCCTGCCGTCCATATAATAATTAACGGAACTTGCTATGGCAGAATGTAATATATTGTGCCATCAAACTTCCCCTTCCACGCGCGCACCGTGACTTTAGCGGCTGTCACGATTTCTTAATACGCGCCATCAACGCCACATTCCTTTTCTCGAAATATATGTAAAACATTCGCAATCCCGCGGACGCGATGCGTAGCGCAGTCTCCAAGACGGCAGCGCGCCCCGTTATCATTCCCGACGCGTGTATCGCTCTTCCGCTTGTAAAGCCACCGGTTCGGTACGAGATGGTACCGATTTCGCTGCGGGTTACAATTACGAGCGAGGCGCGTAATTAAAAGCTGATGTCCCTCATTTATTAATGCTACCAGACGAGCCGGCCTCAGTCAGTACCGCGCGGCACCGCTTCTCGTTCGGTTTAATGTTAAACATCATCAGTCTTCGGCGCATCCTTGATGCGAGAAAGAGAAAGAGAAAGAGAAAGAGAAAGAGAGAGAGAGAGAGAGAGAGAGAGACAGGGGTGGGGCCGCGGAGTGCAACTCACGAGTTTACACTTCGGATTTTATATCTCATTCGCATATTTTGCCGCGGAATGCGTATCGACCGTGCGCTGATGTTGCACGTAGATAGGGATTATCGGCGAAACGCGATCGCTGTTGCAAATGACTTAATTTTTTGTATTTTCTGCTTAGTTAAGTTCAATAGTAGAAATTACGGACGACGGAAATAGCGAACGGGAGAATTCGTTCTCATTAAATATATATCTCGAACAACTCTCTCCATAATATTCTGTAACTCTTTTAACATTAAAATTTTACTATATTCTATAAATTTTTAGTTCGCGTAAACAAAAATCAATCTATCACTTTTTCTTATAGATTCTCGATAAAAATGTCACGCGATAAGAGCAGATTAGTTGAGAATAATTACCGAAAGCCAGCAGCTCCAAGATCGATGACTTTGTTGAAATATTTAATTATTTTGTCTCGGACGTTCGTTTTGGTCTGATTAAGATCGTGAAGACCGGACAGCTCGCAGTCGCGAACTTCCGTAGCGTTGTTATAATTCTGGATGTCACATGGAGGGTTGAAATCTTTGGACGTGTACGGGACTCCCGGATAACTAAGCTCATCTGGTTTTGCTGTCGTGCCACCGGTTCCGTATGCAGGTTGTGCATTTCCTGACATGTGATTGATGACCGCGTCGACGTATATTCGCACGCCAACCTTGTTACATCTTTTCACCATATCCTTAAATTCGGCTTCGTTTCCAGATCGACTAATAATTTTGTAGGAGAGTGGCTGATATCTTTCGTACCATGGTCTGTTCTCTATCACGAGATTCTCGTTTATGGGAGAAACCTACGAAAGAGTACAAGAACTTATTTTGCATTATATTTTTTATATGCGACGGGCATTTAGCGCTGTACGGAATTGACAGATAATAACAGATTATATAAAAATACAGTGAAGGTACTTTTATATTTATCTTGAAACTGCGATAATTTAATAATATTAATTTGCAAAAACAAATTTGACAAAAATTATTTAATATATGCAGTAGCTTTTATTTTCTTATTTACTTGTCCTCTAACACAGCACTCCGGCTTATCCTTATTCCTTAGTTATTTTGTGATAAGGTTCATGTTTCGAGTACTTTTGATCTTATCATAGTAAAATTATTTTTCCATTCAAAATAAAGATGATGAAAGATTGAAAGAATGCATAGGAGAGTTGGGAAATTTTACACGGCTCAATATGTATATGAGATTTGGAGTATTATCAGATTTAGATTAGATATAAATTAGAGATAAGTTAGCCTAAATTAGGCTATGTTAATGTAGATGCAAGCAAATGTTGTTGTGCAAACGGAAGCAAAAGAGTGACAATCGAATCAATAAGGATTATACATATATCATACATATAGCAATAGTTAATGTAAATATACTATACAAGCGTTTACTGTACATACTTGTACACCACCGTAGCCCATCGGACCGAGAAAATCTTCGCATTCTTTGGCAATGTCGTTGAACTTCCATTCGAACAAGTGAACCATGGTAGTTCTATCGCCGACATAATGCGGATCGTTATGCAGGTCCGCAACTGCGAACGCCAACAAGGATATGAAGCCGAGGCTGAAGAACGACATCGTGACACCAAATCCGAAAATTGACTGTAATCGCTTTCCCGATATATCTGGACAATTTATAGGAAACTTCTTTGCTGATACGCGATGATTAATGAAACTATCTGACAAATGGTACGATACTCATGATAAATGTCACTAGTATTACTAGAGCAAACTGATAATCGTCATCTGCATTATATACTGCGCTACATTTGTCATTTCTTTCTGAGGTACACTGACGCTAATTGCTGATGGTCAAGGTAATTCCGTTGTAGATGGCAGCTGTTATGGTTCGATATGAAAAGCTATCAATTGTCACGCGACAAACAGACCATAAACGCAAATTATTCAGAAATTGTGTGGAAAAATACACACGTGTAAAACAGCACGTGTAAAATAAATTCCAAAAATTCCCTTTCATAGATGTTAGTAAAATTTAAACAGGATTTAATTGACTCTCTGTCTCGAGATTGCATATAATATAATTTTAAAAATTTAATTTAACTGGAAGTTCGTGAAAGAGTACAAAACATGAATACGCAAATTTTTCACTCATAATTTTTTGTGAACGCAGTTTCTGTGTCTTTATAATAAATATTTAAATAAATAACAATATGTTTATTTATATTATTGTATATCAATAAAAAGCGAGTTTTTGAATGCTAAATCGTAGTCAGACGTCATTTTTTTGTCGTAATACATCTAAAAACAAAGATAGATTATTTTTTGTATTATAAGCACGAGTTGTTTTAAATATCAAATTGGAAAAAAATACTGAAAAGCCGATATAGAATAATTTTATGCATTTTTATAACAGAATTCAAATATGAATTTTCCCTTGTCGCGCTTGTGATTGGTATTTCGTTGATGATCAAGCCTCTTCGAAAGGCCGTTAACATCGACGGGGCAACCTCAATGGCAGATGGCACGATTGATAGATCGGGACGGACTAAATCTCGCGATATCTTACGTCATAAACGTAGCCGAGATGCTGGAAGGATAATTATTTGTGATGCGCCTGCCATCTGACGCTCGTAACGAGTCGAGTCGATCGTGGGGAGAACAAGGTCGGCCGAGGCACGGGTGCGAAATGTCATGATAATATTCATCGATCTCTTTGGCGCGTAACACCTTTCGCTATTTATTTGGGATGATTTGTCTGCGATTTATCACCACGTTGACCACTCAGCATTTCCCGCACGGTAGAGCGAGTAACGTAATCCAGGTGTTGAACGTGCGCGATATTCATATTTATTATTTATGCAAAAAAGAAAGAAAAGGATCAACGTCAAAGTAAAACGCGTACGCGTTGATACTGTCTTTTGTATTCTCGGAGAATTGAATTACCTTTTCCTACCATCTGGGTAATAGTGTAATACCTATTACGATCTCTCGCGGACACTTCAAAATTGTGAGGTAAAATGAAGAACTCCGCTTTGACATCACATTATTCTTTTATTTATAGTTGGACTGATTTGGCTACGGTATATCACAGTAAATAGATCGAACTTTTAGGTAGAGTTATACCGATCGCCAGCGAATTAACGGCGTGAACTTTATGCATTTCCATAAGACCGTCTGTCTTCCTTCCTTTCTGTTATAGCTTCATCTTCGAACGGAAGAAATGCGCTGTACGCTTTATCATATAGAATATGTCCTACTCAGGAAGAGGGATATGTATAAAATCAGGCGCATAAATGCCATAAATATTACTTAATTAGCAAGGAAAACTTAAACTAAAGTTGCAACGATTATTATGTATCTATATATTAAATCGAAAAAATTATTCTTATGTGCATTTTATCGCAAAGTAAGAATAAATGGAAGACTAACGGATGCTGTCATAATATAAAATTTGTTAAAATACGCAGTAGAGCCGAAATAATCGCAAATTGCTAAAGAACTCATTTTGAGAATTAACATCGTTTACTGTCACTAATTATTCAAACAAGCCGCATAAAACTTTCGGCGCTTAAAATTTCGAGCGCTTAAAAACAGAGACACAAGCGCAAATCATAGTTGGACGCGCCTGCACGTCGGTGATAATAAACATGTTAATTAATTTGAACTGATGCCATTTTAAACGAGAAGAAATAATCTCATGATACTTTATGCCATACTTTATCCATACATTCAGCTCGATCGCACTGATTGCTCAATATAATAAGGAGTTCGCGCCGTTTAGGCTGCTCAACGATGCTCAATGTTAATAGTTTTTGTACATACATCTCTTACGTAAAAAACAATAAAAATGTCGCTGCATACAAACAGACAACGGTCCATAGACAAGTAAATATATTCACATATATAAACATATCTTTGACACATCTACGCAAATAAGCTGCACATGCGACAGTAATAAAACATTATCAGAGGCGACAGCTGCGTTTTTTTTAGTTTCACGTTCAGATGTGGCTTGTGTTTTGTGTTTTGATCCATGCGTTAAGTTTTGCTTATAAATTAAACTGCTTCTATGATCTCTACCGGACTTGATATCTAACGTTACTAAGGGACGCGCGCGTGCGTGTCTTAACTTTAGTGCATGTTCTTTATTTGTAACGGACTGAAGTATAACTTATTTTATAGCTGCATGCACATCGATTACACCTCTAGTTAAAAACTATGGCGATAACATTCGTTTCAGAAATTTATCTGGCGAGTATTCAGACTTTTTTTTTTACTACCCGAACCGTAACTTCACTGTGATTTTTGGGTTTTCTGATAGTCGATGGTGCAACTGAATGGAAAAATAAATTTGTCTTGCGTCGGGTATAATAATGTCCAGGGAAGTGCCTATGGCAAGACATCAGACTCTCCAACAGTCATCTGTTACTGTCAAATCGCCGCCACGTTGCCCAGAAACGATATAGAATATACATTCCGCATCTCTCTTGGCTATAATATAACATCAGATTTTCAACAAGCGTATATAATATTTCTCTTATTATCACATATTTCTCTTATTATAACCATACACATTTCATAGTAAAAGTTTAACAATAATGCAATTTTGTTGATTAATAACGAAAATGGTTTAATAAAAATAATATGAAGATCATAATAGGTAAAATTTATGATAAATTAGAAATTATAAAAAATAACATTTGTACGAGGTAAATTATGGAATAGAGGCTAACAATCATAAAAATGCAAATAATAAATATTACGAGTATATAAGAAATTGCATTTTTAGACGCACGTATTAATTCATGTTAATTATCTGCCCGCAATGGTGCATCCATTTGACTGAACTGTACTGTGTGCCTGTACGAACGAGAAATAGAGAAAGCATGATGAACGAAGCGACGGATGCGTTTTTGTTTACATGCACATATTTACATTTGCACAAATTTTACGTTTAACAAATACGTATTTTCTCTTGCAACAATAACACGAGTACGATTGTCTTCTTCCACGATCATGAACAATCGAGCCTAACGGAATCCTCGGATTTATTATACGTAGAAGTGGCATATCAAGATTACCGAGATTGCTCGATGCACCGTTAAAGCTTCGCTTGCGCCGTGGAGAAGATGATTACATGCACCAATTGACGTTCTGACGCGTTACTTGAGCGCGTCGACATTAGAACGTTAAAGGAAATGCCGATGCTCTCTCTCTCTCTCTCTCTCTCTCTCTCTCTCTCTTAAGACATTAAATAACCCCGAGATGTGCGGAGCGCAGTGACTGTATCTTAATGGCAAAACGCATTGCGTCTCGCATTCACGCGGTATCTTTCAACATGGATGGATAAAGTCGTAGAGCCGTATAGCCACTAGGTCGCTCGAGACATTCAGACGGAAGCGACGAGGCGAATTATCGGAGTTTAGAATATATGCGTTTTGTATAGCCAGACCAGATTCGCGCGACCCTCGTGTCTCAGCACTATCCTAATGTAAAGTCCACCGACCCCCTCGAGCGGTCGGATTCCCGGCTGCTCTTGACGCGGCTGCGGCTGCTGCGATTGCTCAGGCTGCTGCAACTGCGGCTTCTCCTTTCGTCGCTGTGCCTTTTCATCTTCTTGCTGCGCTGTTATCTCCATCTTTTGCTGTTGCATAAGCGACTCTTGGCGCGACACCTCCGCGAGTTGTGCTTTCTCACCTTGCTTGCGCAGTTTTGCTCGCTCGTTTTTATCCAGCGGTTCTTGCAACTGCTTGCGTTTCTGTTGCTGTTCGTCTGCTTTCTGCAGTTGCGGCTGCTTACCGTCCACTTTTTGCTGTTGTTCTTTCGACGAACGTTTTGTTTCCTCTTTCTTTATCTGCTCCATTTCCTTTTTCGACCGCGTAATTTGCTGCTGTTCCTCTTTCCCTTTCTCCAGTTTTCCTCGTGTTTCATGCTCCAATTTTGGCTGCAACGGTTTCTCCTCTTGTTCTAGTTTTTTCTGCAACATTTCCTCATCTCGTTCAAATTTGCGTCGCAGCTGCTCCACCAATTCCGCTTTACGCTGCAACAGCTGTTGTTCTTGTTGAAGTTTCCGTGTCTCTCTGTCCTTCTCTATCTTCTGACGGACTTGCTGCTGTAAGTGACCTGGCTCCTTTTGTGGGCTCTTTCTTTGCGGCTGCATATCTTCTCGCTTCTGCTGTTCCTGCGGTTGACGCTGCGATAGTTGATGCGCCTCCTGCTCTGCATGAGCACTGACATAAATCTGAACTTGAGATTCCTGTTCTTGCTGTTGCTCCTGCTGCTGCTGCTGCTGCTGCTGCTGCGGTCGCTGTCGTTCTTTCTGTTCCCTTTCCTGCGCGATAACATCGTCTGCCGGCGTCGCTTTTTCGTCGGGGCCACAAATATCCTCGGTTCGTCGAGGCTCGTCCGAAACGGCCGCGGTCTGTGCGGCCGTGGCCTGAGGTTAGTTGCTACCATAATTTTGTTTCTGATCCCATCCAGAATTTTGTTTCTGATCCGATTCAGAATTTTGTTTATGATCCGATCCAACGTCGGAGCCGCTCGAGCTCAAGGTCGTAATACTGCCTCCCGGATACGGATCCAACGACGACTGGACCGACATGCTGCGACCCTGTTTCTTCAGTCTGTGGGGAGAGAATCTTCTGGGGTCGACACTGGTTGGGTCTGCCTGCAACAAATTTTTTCATAAAGAAACTGATGGCGCAGTCACACCAAATCGTGTAAGACGTTTCATAATGCAGTTAACTGTGCCAACGGCATTTTTTTTTGCGCTTTGAAACGAAATATATGGAAAAGCAACGCGCACCTGATAAGCCAATGCATTCATGATAATCTCCGGTGGCACTAATCCTAACGGATTCACTTCTTGCATCAACACGGTGGCCGGGATTTTGTGAAACTGGATGTACTCGACGAAATTACCAATTACATCTTTCAACGGTGTAAGTTGCTGGTTGTCGCAATACTTTTTACTCCACATTAGTGCGGCCTAAAAGTGAGAGAAAATAGTTTGCGGAAATATCGTGTGAGAAAATGTCGAATAAATGTTGTTGACATATTTATATCAGGCTTACTTGAAATTTCGTAAATTCATCTGCGCGTAGTTCTTCTCTGGCAAGGATCAAGCGAACGACGTGTTGCGGCAGTAATGTGAAAGATCCTAAATTCAGTACTTCATTTCCGTGCTCATCGACGAATTCCAGTACCTTTGCAAAGAATTCCGTATTAATTTTAGATTAATTAGTTATAAAATTAAGCATTAAAGCTGATATCATAGAGAGAAGGAGCCTCTCTTTCTCTTTCTTTACAGTTAGATGCGAATTTACCTTTTGAACCAAAGTTTTTGTGCATTTATACTGAATATAACGCTCTGCTGATGCTAACAAAGCGCAGACCGTATCGACGGTTATACAACATTGAACAAAGCCCGAGCAGGCTCGTTTAAGCTCTTCCAATCCATAATAATCGGCAGCGTTCATTACTCCTGCGGAAAGAAATTATTATCAACTATCGAAATCAAATTTCTTCAATCGTTTATTACATTCAAAGATAAAATATCTAATGAGTACATAAAATTATCTTACAAACTTCTTCTTTATATGTGTTTAGATCGTGAAAATATCAGATAAGATATAATGACAGGAAATACTCGTCAGTAATGATTAATTCACGCGGCAAATAATAGACATTCTAATTGGCTTGTTAGAGATATACATGTGCTATATAACGAATTGATTACCAAGCAAGGTCCTAGGCTGCAAAGTCACACATCCCGTATGAATGTACTCGATCAGCTGCCGGAAGACATCGGGCTCGAATTCCTCGATAATCAGCGTATGATGCTGATGTGATTGTGGCTACGATACAAAAGTGAAATCTAAATATCTAAACGAGAAAACGGAGATGTTCAGATTCAAGCTTAAATGGAATACCCGTGCTAAGCGACTTGCATGGGAATCCAAGTAAAAGACTAGCGCAATAGTAAATCAAATTCACTAATTATGAAATAAGAAATTATATATTAGACAAGAGAAATATAATATATGGGTATTATAATATTTTTTTAATTAAGTGCAAAATTTTAGCTATTGTGCATCTAACATATTAAATAGAATAAATACTGGTATATTGCCTAACTAAAATAACCCAGCGAACATATTCAAGCGCTACGTCTGTTAATATCTTTTAAAGAAACTTGTATTTTCTACGTTCTGTTGAACATTCTATTGTGTAACTTGTCTTTAAGATTTACGTGTTAATATCAATAATTACAACTCGTTCGCTTGGTTGAATTACGTGAATCAATATGATAGCTGAAATCGCTAAGTGAATACCGTAATCGTGCCAATCTACAACTATAATGGATTTGGCGACTACGAAAGAGAGTGTATAATTGAATCGATCATGCAGAAGTCCAAATATGGAATTAGCGCACAGTCCAGTCCATAATCGTATGAGTTACATCTGTTTGAGTATACGACTCTCGAGAATCGTTCATCTCTCTTCGACGAGCAAAGGAACAATCAAGATAAAAGAACGCTTATCCAAGTAAAAAGTCAAGGCAACGAAGAAACATCGACTTGTCAATACACAAATTTCAAGTGGTCTCCTATACGAGAGCTCCTCTAAATGGTTTCGTGAGGCGAAATCGCAGTGCAGTGTACAGAAAAAAAATCAATGAAGAGAAAAAGAGGAGTAATCAATTAGAAACATAGGGGGGCAAGATATATATGGGATGGAAAACGATTTTGATCTGTATGTAAAATTGTACGTTCAAAGTACCTCTTGGATGGGGGCCAGTTGCTGCGTGAACCCTGACCGCTACACGACACATACAAACGCACACTTACTATTTCTATCCTGATAAAAGTGGAAGATTCGTTTCAGCGACGGCCACGATAAATATGCAACGTATCCCAAAAGGAACGATAACATTGTCGCTTCAACAAAGCGTTTGTATTTCGGCTAACTGAGATAGATATAACTTTCCTACTTCATATATTAATTAACAAAATAATGGAATCCAGTTGCAATATGTTTCCCTTAAATTAAAATTGCTCGATACAATGTAAGATTGACACGAACGATCGTTGGGCTTTGCATATCGAACGTGTTCGCCTTTTAATCTGAGAAATTGTCCATATCGATTTTATGTATGTGCTATTTACATAATAATTATTGTCTCTTTCTGTCTTGCATTGCAAATATATACACGCATATATTGACTTGAAGGAAAATTGGAATATAGGAGCTGCTATCTGATATCTTCTTCATTGCAATTTGATATATTGTGAATATTGCGCCATACTTATTTCTTTTTTGTTTTTCATTAGTCAATGTAAGCTATAAGTTCGTTAGTGATAAATTCTATATTGACTTTTGTGCTAAGTACCTGTTGCGCAGCATTCTGTAAATTCAACAGCGGTTCGGAGCTGCGTTTAAGAAAGAGCCGTATCTTGTTTTCTCGCGCCGGCGGTTCTTTTTTGCGTTGCGGGCTCGGAGTTTGATACAGCATTTTATGGAAGACTCTGTAAATTGAAAAAAGATAAAAATCTCTATTGTACTCGTTTGTCCCATGCGTATATTAACTGGAAGATATTTTCTACACAAACTTGCTTCTGGCTGCAAGTACAGCTTTCACAGCGCAAACTGGCTCCCTGGTGTCACCGACGAGGAACGTCACGTCGCAGAGTTCCGGCATACTCGCCAAAAACTTCATGTCCTCGGCCAGGCCGGTTTTATTCTCGAAAGTCGAGTAATCGTCATCGTCGGTCATCCCGGATCCTGAAGCCTCCGGCATCGGGCCCATGTCTTCCTGTTGTTTATTTCACGTTAAAAATAACGCTGAATCATCATAATTCCATTTTGGAATGTTTTTTCTTGTCTTACTTAACTTCGATTTAATTATCTAATTCCGCTTACATAATGAATATGAAGATTGTTCTCACCGCGATAAGTATTTTAGAGTGTGCAATATTATTTACATTTATATATTTGTCATAAAACTGACATAAAAAAATTGCTCAATAAAATTATTATGTACACAAGTAGTGCGCAGGCTTCGATAAAAATATCATGGCCTTTTAATACGCAGTATACGAGGGGATTGTATAAAAAAAAAGCGACGCTCTCATCCATAAACTATTATTATTTAAAAGATAATTTTTGCCCTCCCTCCCCCGCTTTCCTCTATCGTTATGAGGTAATCTATAGTTCCAATACTTTTATTCAAGGCTAACTACGTGCACTATCAACAACTTGAAATAAACACTTCTCTTAGAAATTTTGCTTACGCTGTGGAGTGCAGGCGGTTTTATCGAGGACAGAAAAATCTGCAAGCTCTGTTGTCGACAAAGCGTTTCTCCACTAAAGGACGTACTTTTCCTTATAACGCGTTTTCTACCTACAATGTAATTAACCTACTTGCTAAATAAAAAATTCGTTATCAAACTTAGAAAAGTAACGCGGATATGCTTCAATTTCACTCATTAATCCTGTCAATAATGCTTCGTAGTTAATTACTGCCGTCTATTGTCGTTACTTTTCAAATAACCGAGACAAATAATGAACATTTGTGAGAAACATACGCATTACAGAAAGAATTATTCAGATCCTGTAACTTCTTTTCAATCTGGTCTTTGTTATACTATATAGATACAGAATTTTTTTAGAATTAATTTTTGTATGTTTGTATGTTTGTATGTTTGTTTAAAAATATATGGCTATAAATAACTTATTATATTACTAAAAGAAATATCAGAATTAATTCTTTTTATAAATAAAGACTTCTTTCCAATAACTTTGATAATTAATTGATTAATTAATTATCTTACGTTTTGAAGTTTTATTAAATTTGCAATAATTGCCAAAAATATTCAAGCGATAAAATATTTAATTCGTGTTCTTCTCGCTTTTAATAATAGCCAGATTATTTGATGTAAGTAACAGGCAAATGTTCTAAATAATTATCCACAAGAAGATGTAATTATGTAACAGAGGATGAAAAAAAGAGAATAGCAAAGAGGGTTGGAGAGAAGTAAATGGTAAAAGAGTCTCAATAATGAAACGAAGTGTTACCTGTTGCTTTGATCCCGGAGCCTCTTCGCTTGCCGGGCTGCTTTGGCCCCGAAAAAACACTTTTAACTCCCTTCTTCAATGTCGTCGGAAAAATCGACCGTTCGCTGAATCGAATGCACAAGAGAAAAACGGAAGATTAACTAATGTAAGAATGTAAGAATCGTGGAAGCACGCATTTGCAAAGACAAATGAGGCAATAAGAGCTGAATTGTCACGCGCAGATTAAACATTTTTTTCTCTCTCAATTAATATATACGTAATATCAATTAATATATACGTAATATATTGATTGAGCACATCACACACAACATAATTTGGCATACAAATCGAAAGTACAGTCACAAATACAGTTGTCAAGAATTCAAATGCAGAATATAGATAAGGTGATTATACTTGGCAACGTCAAGCTAACGTGTAAAGTAGAAATTAATGCAAATTGCGAGGCGAAATTTATTAGACACTTTGACCGTAAGGCAAGTACCTAGAGACCCGCGGTAACGAACTCGGGGAGCGATCGACGTCGCGGGATTGATCGCGGTGGTTTCCAGCACGCGTTTCCAACGAAACTGCCCGGACGAACGCCGCCCCTTTTCGCCGCGGAAGAGACTGGTGGTGATTTTGCCGCAGAGAACGACGCGCGTGAAATGTCTGTCCTGGCTGCCGTCCTCGTGAAGACTCGAGGGATACCGGACGCGTTGGGGGTTGCTGCCGTGAATGGATATACAGTCGGAGAGAGAGCGCACACAGGGCGAAGGCTCTAGGCGAGCAAAGAGCTGGACAGACCCAGAGCTTCCCGTCGACGAGACGTCGGAAAGGCATCGCGGCGCCTGCGTCATGTGGGACGTCGACGCCACCCGCTTCTACGCCGGCTCGACCCGGAGGACTTTTTCCTCCTATCGGACGGGATAGTTTCAAGTGAAACGAATATCCTTGGACCGGGCGATTGAATATCGGTCGAGAATTTTTAGTTCGTTTCGAGATGTTGCGTCACATACTTGTACTTTCGTTAATTCATGTCATTAGTCTCAATGTTTCGACAATACACTTTAATAAATTGTGATTAGCTTTCAGAAATTTCAATCTTGGACTTTTTACAATCTTATGTATTATAAAATGTATAATCTTATATTTTGTCTTTTGGTTTAAAACATATATGACTTTTATCTTACATTTAGTAACTTTGTTTCTAATTTTTCTGAGGGATAAAAGTTTTCATAATTCATTGAGCATGGACAATTTTATAATATAACGATATAGTTACGTAAAGATCCTATATATATATATAAAACACCTTCAATAAAAAGATTTATTAATTCCCATTGCTCCGTGAAACTTTCAGATGTGATTCTCAAATATCGATATTTTCAAGATATTGTGTATCACGATATTGTTTCCTTTAATGACCAATCAATAATGCGCGAATAAAAAGTGAAGATAATGCGAACTCCACCGTGATGTTTCGGCTCAATCTAGCAACATGGACTGGAATCATTCATGTTGTTGAAAAAGCTTCGTCTCACTTCGAGGCATTCCGCTATTCTTCTCTTCTAATCAATACGACTGGGCACCGCAACAAGTTGCAATGCGGCCGGAAGACGCGAAAAAAACAGCCTGGATTTGAGATTCAATATATATTTATAGCTAGATATTTATAAATATTCTTAACTTGATTTAAAATATTGCATGGCATGTAATAAAATTATATATATTATATGAGCAGACTTTATACACACACTGAATAATAATTGCTTTTAAAAATGTAAACGATAATGTAATTACAAACTTATGCATTTTAATTAATCTGATGTACTTTCCACTTTTCATTATATTTTTTACGTTAACTAAAGAGTAGAAATACTCTGAAATTTTTTCACAAAGGGGTAGTTTACCATAAGTTGATTAATTCTAAAAAAATTAATTTTCTTCATGAAAAAATTGCAATTTAAAAACTCAGAATTAAATCATTTCTGAGCATGTGCATTTCTAAAAATGTAATTCGAGACATTCGGGCTTCAAATCGCGCCGAAGCGACCCTCGCAGGACTTTTCCACCCCCGTTGCCCCCGAGTGGAGTCTCTCGGACAACGACGTGCGACGCCGACGACGCTTGCGCGAGAATAACGAGCGATTTCATTCTCGCTCGCGTAGCAGCCCCTCGATAATTGGTAAACGGTTCGATAAATAGGAGCGGCTGGTCGTAATGAGTCGGGAGCTTCATTAGCGGAGAAAATGTTCCGATGTTGGTTGGATCTAAAACATAAAGATACGCGCTTAGCCGCTGCCGCCTCTGTCCTAAAATTGCCAGGTCCGGTCGGAACGGCGCGGACGATGTCTCGTCCTGCGATTCCGTCACGAGATTTTTCCGGTGTCGTTATTGATCCTTGGCGGGACCGCCGCGCCGTTTTACCTTGCCCCTCGAAACAGCAAAACTCGTGGGTGGCTGGAATTGGGTCAGGGCTAAGCGAAAGCGTGTCACGTTCCATTTTCGCGCAGCGTTCTAAGCCCCATAACGGAGTCCTATTTATACTCCCTCTTTCGAAAATATATCGCTTGGTACATTCGCTTCCATTACTGCAAAGATATTTCGTCGTATACTTGAAGATCACATATTCTCCTGGTATACTACGACAGAAATATTATGACGTAATAAAACTTAATTTTGGACATCAAGATTAGAATAGAAAAAAAGCACGAGGCAGGGTATTTTTAAAAACTATTAGTAACATAAAACAACATCGATTTATTCAACACAAATACTTGCACGTTATGATAGAGGTTTGTATTAATGATATAATAATGATAATAATATTCATATATACACGAAATAAGGCACGTCTGATATTATATTAATTAAATTGTGCGACGAGAGAGCGCCGTGCGCAGAGAACATGCGTCTTTCCTCTCCGGCGGTCGCGCGTTAGTCACGTTTATAATTACTATCAATCGTCTTCGTCCCTTACGATATGCAACGTCCTTACCAAATGTAGAAAATGTCGTATATATAATCTGTATAAACGATTCTGTCGATCTGCATTCGCGCTCGCGCGTCTGCTCGCGTCGGACCATTATAGGAACGAATCGCGAGGCGGATTCTCGCATTCATGCGAGATTATCCACGACTTGCACAATCACACTCCCTAAGCTATTCAACCGTGTCTCGTGTCTCGCATTGGCAAAACTGCGGCTTCGAGAACCTCGATTAATTCTAAAATGAGAATCGCTAGTTAGTCGTGTCTCTAATTAAGCACGCACTCGTACGCGGGCCAGCGCTCGCTGCTCTCCCTTTCTCTCTTCCTCTGCGAATTCTTTTCCGCAATTAAACGTATTTAACGCATTCACACGTCCGCGGCTAATTATTACGCGAAATCGCAAACCCGGTTCGCGTCGTCGCATGAAAATTACAGCCGCGTAAATCCCTCAATTTTTAATACGACTCTTGAACATCTTATTCGGCTGATTTAACAGAGCTATGTACGCTTTTTCATAATTTTCGTCAAGAAAAAGATCCATTTGTGATATTTAAATTTCCTTCGCTACATTTCTTCACATATAAAATTTACAATTATATATATATATATCAATGTAACGAAGAGAGAAAAAAGGGAATAAAGTTGTATCACATGATCAGATTCGTAGAAGAATTAATGATAATACGAGTCAGTGCTTTTACAATTGTTAATTTCACTTTTTCATTACGCATTTCTGCATATAGCGGTACTTATGATTTTGTTGGCACGCAAAAATCATTTTGAAATATAAATATCTAAATAATTTCAATAAAATTATTGAACCACATGCCCCTAATTTTAAATTAGACCTTTCTCAGGCGAACACGTTATAAATTTTTAAACACGTAACTAACAGGTAAAGATTCGTTAATGTATTTTAGATTTAAACCTTATTTTTATACGAAGACTGTATTATTCGCGACGATTCTTAATCGCGCTCGTATAGTGATATGTAGCTAAAATTATAAGAAACGATTCGTGTTTCCTTATGAAAGTGTACTTTTCACGACGTGTCCGCTAGCAAATTTACACGGTCAAATTAATCGCTGATTCACGATCGCGAGTCGTTCGCAGCTGTCGAAAGCGAAGATGATCCGCTTACGATCAATAACTCATACATGTTCGCACACTTAGTAACACTCTCTTAGATCTACTTAGGCGGTACTTACGTTCTCTGAACTGGCATCAAGATATTGTATCTTACACGAATGTATTATACAAATAGAATCAAAAAATTCGTCTCTGGAATGTTTTTGCCGCTCTTTTCCTCTGCGCGTCCCTAATTAAACCTACGCGAGTTATCTAAATTAAAAACTAAAAAGAAAATATAATTCTCTTTTTGTTACGCGAAACGTCGCCGTCTTCGTCTCGGCGAGTCTGGAATGTAGAATTTATCTCCGAAGAGACAGCAAGAGACTATAAGCGATTGACAAATGCCATCGCGGATAATCGAATCGTCGATTAGAGATACGACGTCTGACGATTTCTTTAACGTGAGGAATGTGACGCTAGAGAGTGATTGATTGAAATTATTGCATTCGTCTTCGAAATACTTCTCGAATACCGAGAGATGCGTGATTAAGAATAACTTGAAAGTAAACCATCTCTGATGGTTATAAGATGCATGCTATCTTGTGAGCCGTTGCGTGAGAACAATGCAAATTATTCAAACGCAATTTGCGTTAAGGGAGTTATAATTCTCCTCGCGTTTTTCCCTCGAACTCGCACATGGCACTCCAAGAGTTAGCAGAAGGGTACGACTGCGCGGATATCGTCTAATGCGATCTCCTGAAATCATTCGGTACACGCAACTACATGTTTTCATTAACGGCGGTGCGTGTTCGTCATCTTAACTGCACTGGAGTTCGTCCCCGGTTACAGCGACCTTAGGATGGGAGTATTTTAAATTTGGCACTTGACCTTCCTAAAGGATAAGCTACGCTCAGACTCGTCGAAGACATTCTGCGGTTCGTTCTCGAAAATTGCCGGCGCCGTAACACAGTGGGAGAAAGAAAAATAATTCGCTATTCGTTATTCAGACGAATAATCGACGATTCGCCCGCAGGGATCGACACGACGCGTCGTTCCTGTGATAGCATCGAGCATCCCGCTTCCCCTTTGATCCTCGTGGAAGCGCAAATGATCAGCGAACGAAAGTGACGATCGAGAGCTAATTCGATGGTCGATACGATCACGTTCGTCCACGACCACGTCCGGGCCAATCTCTCGTAATACTCTTAATACTTAGGGCTACAACATCCCAGGCAACGACTCAAATCATAATCGGTTCGAGTGATGCTCGGAAATTATTCTAATTAAATGCAGTTTCTCGAGTACAAAATTTTCTAAGTATATTATTCTCGCAAACATTCCGTTGCGTCGACCAATCTTCCGCTTTGTATTATACACTTCGAGTTCGCCGATAAGAGGTCGATGGATCCTTTCGTCCTTGACAGTCGTTTCACGACGAATATCGAGGAAACGCGTGGAGTTTGAGTCGGTCCACCAAGCGATCCCGAACGGTTTTCCGCAGGAATCATTTTTTGCGATTTCTTGCGGAATCCGCGGGATTTATCTGCCAAAGCGGGTCTTGGCGATCGAGTACCGTTTCCCTGGCAGCCAAGATCCGCCGCGCTCGGGACCGTGACCGCGATTGTGCGAATGACGACGCGAGAAGGCGCGGTATCACAGCTTCGACGGGTCATAATTCTCGAAGGACCATCTCTGTCTCGGGGCATTGGTCGAGCATTCCTCCATCACCAGTTGCTGCTTGTTCTCCGTGATCGCCAGACACTTGTCGCTGCTACCGTGCCTGATATGATTAGTCTGGAAACAAAAGAACGAGGCGACTTGAGTTTCTCTTCGAAGAGCAATTTAAGGCAGAGCAATTTCACAGTTAGATTTTATATATACGATCGTCTTGAGTTTATCTTTAGATACGCCAATGCATGAAACGAGTCATACGGCATCTAAAGATAAACTCGAGACGATTTTAAATATAAGATCTGACTACATGAATACCGTCCTAAATCAAGGATCAAGGATTAACTTTATAAACTATTTGCTAGCTGAATTATTTGATTTAATCTTGAGATTTGCTCATGGATTAGCAAGAGAATGTTTCGAGGACGATTCATCACCTGAGGATTGTAGATCCATTGTTGATTCCCTTTACTTCCGTGGCAAGGATAGAGAATAACGTCGCTGCCGCTGTAGTCCAGGCACGACTCGTCTCGGCGGATTTCGCCCGTCTTGCTGAGCATCCAGTACTGCGACAAACGATCTCGATTAATATCTCCTAGGAATCACGGACTTGTTTGCGGCCTACGCGCGATTCTGACAGACGCCATTACGAAAAAAAAGAACAAAAAACAAAATTTTGCCCGAACGATCGTTCGAAAAAAGAGAGAGAATTTAATAAAATTCATATTAACACACGGGGATATTTCGTTATTGCAAAAATGTAAAAAAAAACTCGAATCAAAAGGTAGTTAATATGTATAAATTTCTCTCGATGTGTTTTACAAAGCACTCGCGCCCGTATTATCGCAATCCGCCGCCGAAACAATGATATTCACGAAATCGGGAAATATCGGCGAAACGTAAATCGCGGCAAATGCAAAAAACGTAAAATCGTTCGATCCGCACGTTTAATCTGTCGCAATGCGTGCTCGCGGGCTGTGAAAATAAGCGTGACGTATCCCACCGGTGTGTATTATCATGAGCGCCGCGGTGACCGCGGACGCGGACGCGGATTTTCGCGTTACAGGACCGGCGTCCCCGATCGATTGCACGCGCCGCTTGTAAAATAACTTGTCCCGCGGGCGATCGTGTAACATGATCGAGCGCGTGTGGTGCGACCAACAGTTATTTACCGCGGCGATGCGCCGCGCCGGTCAGCACGAAGGCGAACACGCGCGGCGGAGGCGCGTCAAAGCGATCCGGTGCGCGTAATGAGCGCCGGTCGACCGATAATTGAATCCGATGGCCCTCGAAATTGCGCTTATCTGACCGGACGCCACGCCGCGCCGGTCGTTGCTGTTTGGGCAATTCCAGCTGCCTGGAGTGGCCAGCGCGCGCGCCGAACCCGCGTGTGTCGCCCATAAAATCCCACCCCAGACAGCGCCGGGTCCAAAATCGAAATATAATCTTTAAGACATCTTTATAAGACGCCTTATGTCCTGATTTTGGACATGCGTGCTGTCTAGGACAGAAATTTGACGTACTGATCGCCGAAGCGAGATTCAGAAACGCGAATCCGTGCCGGCCGGTCCGTTGAAGCCGCGAGAGTTCATTTCAGGAAAAACATTTAGAAAAAAAAAAAAAACACAAGAGACGGATGGATAACGCGATAAACGAACGCATTATAATTCGCGCGGTCATAATTATCACTAATTTAATACGGCGAGCGGGCGCGGAATTGGGACTGCGGCTGTCAGAACCTGTCCGGTCGACAATATAGTTGTTTCGAAGTGCTTTACAAGTATAATTAGGGGATAGTGGGTATACGGGGGATAACGAGAAGCAAGCATTCACCGCACACATGTATCATCAAGCATCGTTAGCCATATGGACGACCCGCGTTCCATTCTGCCTGAAACTCTCACTCAAATCAGAGTATATTATGTCGCGCTGTCTGAAGTATAATACAAGGGTGTTACGTGTTATCTGACGCGCATCGCTTTGTTATGTCTCGCATGCTTGTCTGTATGGTGTAACCGCGTTACTTCTTGCACGTTGTAGAAAAAAAAAAGAGACCGAGATTCGAAAGTGACCGACGGCGATTGAGATGAAGCCTCGCGAGGAACGCGCGTTTATCGGTGCACGTTATGTACAGCTTCGTACGATTACAACGTGACATGACGCGACGGTTTATATGATGATCTCCGAGCACGATAATAATTCTATGTATACAGCAGAGAGAGAGATAGCGAGGGTCCAGGCATACGCATTGTAGTGTCCCTGTAAACCGACCAGCCGGCGACCGCAACGGCTATCTCTCGCGATGCACTTGCCACTCCATCCGATGATACGATTATTCATCTTCCATCATCCGCGATCACCGACCGATCCCGAATTCACCGATGCGCGGTATCCCCGGCGCTGCGTCTCTTCCTCCCCGCCCGGCCCCCCATGATCGCGACTTTATCAGTGTCACGCGGGCGATGACCGAAAGCGTAATTGCCGTGAAACCGCGGCTTAATTGCGAGGGCAAACAGCTAAATTAAAGCGGCGCTTTACCGGGCTAAGCAAGCACCGCCCGACTGATTGTGTTTTTGGTTGTAACCGGTCGCCACGGTTGTTAAACGCCGGCATTTCGGTATTTGGCGCGTCCGTGCGCGTTGTTTGTACGTGAAAGACAGGAAAACGCACGTGTGTGTGTGTGGACGCGCGCTCCGGTTCGTGTGAGGCTTTAATAACAGACCGGGCAATCGACCGAATGAGTGCAAGAAACAAGATAAAGCGCGGATTTACACGGTACGCTCGAGTTCTGTCGAGTGGCGAGCGTAAGCTCGCTAATAAATGAACGGAGGTCGCTGCTGATGAAATTGCCGCCGTTGTTTGCCGCGCGTGTAATCGCTGCATTGTCATCGACGTAGGTAAAAGAGATGCAAAAAAGACGCTGGACGGTTATATCTGTATTCGTGTGCCACATCTATTTGCGTCATTTTATCGAACCAATTACCAAGTTTTCGTTTGGAGAGTTAAAATTGTACGATAAAATGTAATGTACAAAAGATAAAGTTTACATTGCGAAAAGATAAAAAAAAAAATGGATAGAAATGGATAAAAATGTTTAATGTGCATGCGTTTAGGATATTTGCGTCTAGATGCTCTCACTCTTGTTCGTGGGAGTTACGGGGGCCCAAATCGGTGATTAAAATCTAAGCCTACTATATCAATGTGAGAAATGATGATAACACAGTAAGAAACCGTGCCAAAAGGCAGCGATTGGGGTCATCTCACAGAAGGGGCAGTAGAGACATGGATTGATGAGCACCTGCACCAGATTAGCGACGCCACTAATCGCGGTCGAAACGCAGGGCGATTAGTGCCGAGTTAGCGTGCACGCGAGCGCACATGCGTTCCAAGGATCAGCTTTTACAAGTCGCGTAGGATTTACGACCCCGTAACCAGATATTAGATCAGAGATACGCCTGTCACCCATCTATCGAACGATTAGGAAAGCCTCGAAAGATTTAATAAGTATGAATGTCCATTAGTTGAACGATTTAAAAATTGTTTTTAGTTATGAAAAGTTGTTGAAAATTCAATCAGGCTTCGCGGATGTACCTGATTGCCGCCTTGAAGGTGACAGGGATACAAGCCCACCGGCTGATGCAGGTCTTCGGTTTTCCCTGATGAATCTATACACATTCTGCTAGCGATTTGCCGTATCTGCGTTAGAATTCAAGAGAAATGTACACGGTTACTCTCGGTAGGCAGGTGAAAGACTCGCCGTCGCGTCGCTCGTCCAACGGCATTTCGTGCGAGAGCGCACGATTTTATCTTTCTTCGCCGTCTATTCGAGAATATCCAAGCAGCCGGAAGCGCGAACACACATGGCATGGCACGAGCGCGAGTACGATTAGGCACTCGGTCGTCATTGGGGAAACGATAACAGGTAGATATCACCGATGAGACGGAAACTCGATTTTCTAGTAATTTGGTATGTAGCTTCGATTAGCTTTGCAATGGAATTACGGGACGCACATTTCGAAACGAACGATCCATGTACGTTGTTTATTCACGCAGGATTATACGATAATAATTAGGCTAGATACCGGCGATCTGCAGCGACTAACAAGCGCTGTCGCTGTAATGTGGCCGAAGGCCAAAACGGTCGCTCTTTATATAGGACAATCGTAAATTTTACAGAAATAAATAGCTTTTAATAAAAAAGTAAAAGCGAATGGGATGAATTAAACAATATACTGTAGAAGAAACCCATTTTTATTAGCACGTAGTGTAAAAGGAATATATATATTCCACTAACATATATAAATTTAAAAAAAGCAACAATTCGTCTAATTGCATCAGTTGACATATATTTTCGAACTAATTATCATTCAGACATGCATAATAATTGCTTTGGAAAACTATCAAATACACTTTTTAATTTTAATAATTGTTCCTTTGAAGAATTTTAGCTAAATTTCTCTCATAGCTGAGATCTTCTGAATATTTATATATCACTGAGCTATGCAATCAGCCAAATTTTCGATCTTTTTATCAGATAAATTTAGAAATGTACATTTCTTTTGCATAAAATAACAGACCTTTTAGAGTAATATTTGATTCATTTCATTCCGTCCATTTGCTAACAAAATAAAAGCTATCTAGTTTCAGCAATTTTCCGATTGTCATCTTGTATGTACCTATATCGAGCGGGATATGTTGCAAATATAAATAATTGGTCGTTTTCACACCGCATTAAATTCTGTACTACTTAATTTCTTAATTTATGCTTTATAATTCAATTTATAAATCGTATTAATCGAAATTTGATTACTTACAAAATCTTCTATTTCTATCGCGCATATTAATTTTGACACCGCGATGTAATAAAGCACGCTACTCTGCAGTGAATATACTGCCGTAGCAAGCATTCGATGTCTCGAAATATAGAGGCAAACACGTAGTTCCAAACGCGAGCGCTAGCGAGGAGAACTTTGAAGCCGAACGTAAAAATCAAACCAAATTCAACAAAAATCGTGTTTCCGTTTTCAACTTTGAGCACGTACAACAGTTTCACACATCAAGCACGAACAGGCGTTTTCACAGGACAATGTGTTTTGTGGTCAAGGAAATTTTTTCGGGGCGGATGTCTATTGTACCTGATTTCCACCCTGTCGATGACAGGGATATAGTCCACATGGTTTGTGCAAATCGGCCTTGCGAGCGGGCGAGTCCAGACAGGTGTTGCCGCCCTCGCCGAGATTTCGGACCTGTTTGTTGTTAGTAATTTTTTCGGACATTAGCGTGTATCCATTGCACCGTTAGTAATACCCAAGAATATATGTACATATTAATAAACAGATTACTGAAACAACGTCAGCGGCGTGGCATTTAGACATTTCTGTTTCACATTATTATTTCCTTTCGACTTGACATTTCATCACGGAACTTTGGAATAAAGATGAAAAATTATTCTCGATCGAATTAATTAAACGCGAATGAGTATTCAGTTCGAAATGTCAATGCAAAGTCGCTGACGCTCCGTTCTATTTTAAGATCAAAGTACATGAAACTACACAAGATGACATCGCCTTTGTACCTGTAAGATAAGATAATTAGATTAATAATCTAAATATAATAATAGAGATTGTGATTTATGAATCGGGCACCTCTGGTAACGAGATTCGTTGATTTGACCTCTCGCGAGAATTCTGAAACAGAGTATAAAAAGGCGAAAAAGTTACGCCCCTCGTTGCACAATGATTCTTTTTTTTTATGCACAGATTCTGCGGCATGCCTGGAAAAGCGGGGACCGCACAGACCGCGGATTGCGTTCTCCATTTTTCAAATAGACGGAAACAAATTGAAAATGAGGTCTGCTCGTATTTCGTTCGGTCCGACGCGTGTGTTCGCGACCGAACCATACGGCGTACGTGTTTGCATGTGTGGACGTGCACGTGTGTGTGTGTGTGTGTGTGTGTGTTTGGGTGTTTGGAAATGTATGTACGTATGTACATATATGCGCACATGTGCCTGCGTATAACAGCAGGTGCATTCAGTTACGGCGCTCGGTCAGCAGTCCTGATTTCGCTGCATGCAAGAATTCTGTGGTCGTTGCAGTTTCAACGTGAACATCTTTATTCCCTCCCTTCCCCCGTCCCCCTTCACCCCTTTTCCGCCCCTACCCTGTACCCTCGTCTTCATCCTCGCAGGAGTCGTCCTCGTTGTCGGCGTCCGACTCGTCGGCCGACTGGAATAAAAACTCGTGATTTATAACCGGGTATCCTGGAGGTCGATAAAATTTCCAAAGCTCCTGCTCCGCCGGCATTATTAAAGGCGGCTCGAAGGCTCTTAGTGAACTCGATGAGAAATGTGATCTAGTATTTAGACAACTTTACGATCCGAACTCAGAGAGTTGGAGAGTCGGTGTAATATAATACCAGCGGAGGAGTCACGTATTTCGGACATTTTCTGAATTTCATACCTCGTTAATCTATAATCCGAAAAGAAGAACGCGTCCTCCTTCAGTTTTACTCCTGTAAATCCTACCTTCATCCATACGTGGGGAAAAAAAAAATAAATCTTACTGACGTTAACAACGATTTTTCAAGAATATTTCCAGGAAGATTTTACGAGCGCAGCGTGCAGAGATGTATTATGAATGCCTTATTAAAAATCATATCGCGGGATGTGGGATCGATGCGAGATTGCAAGGGTTAACAAAACCGCGGCGACCGCGTCGCCTTTTTTATTATTCCACGCGGTTTTGCATAGGAAATCCATGCAGTTCGTGTAGAACGCGCGCTCAAAAATCGCGCGGTATATACCCCCCGGAGAAATATATACATTCCTCCCCGTGCACGTACGTAGAAACACGTGCACATCCGAAATTATTCACGTCGTGTACGATTTCTGGACCGTCGTAGAGCCGTGTGAACTATAAATCCAGTCATCCCTCTTCCTCCCGTACGATAGGGAGGCCGAGCGTGATTTAGCCGGTTGTCCGGGAGCAAATAAAAAGTAAAGAGGCGAGAGGAAGACACACGGTAAAGAACGACAAAGGTGAGAAATCCGGACGAGGGACAGCATGAGAACATAAGTTTCGTCCCGACGCGTACGGACGGAATTGTTGTTTTGTGTGCAGTACGTCGATGAAGTCTGAAATCCTCATCGCACACAGATTGCGAAACTGTCGATGGTATTTCGATGGCGTTAGCGAAAACCGGCGATAGCGCAGTAAAAAATACGAATTCCGAAATTCTTGCTTTAAAAAACCTACAGAATTTTTTAAATAAGCCGAATTATGTTGCTCGAGATTTGTGCATTATTCAGAAGTGCTGGTTCTATGCAGCACGAGTATTGATTATACTTGGTAGCGTTACAAGTAAGTTTTGATACAATTTTCAGGCATCTTAGTACATCAAAATTTCAGAAATTACCGAAAATCCTGGTACCTAAAAATTCATATCAGATTAATAATAGATAATTAAATGATTCAGGCGAATCGAGAGTAACTGCGAGATCTATTCGAGTCTGTGAATGATCTATTCAAGTCTGTCTGTGTAATGAAATAAAGATAGTAATGGGGGCTGCTATAATTGTACGGGAAAATGAGCTTACGTGCGAATGCGTGCTCCTTATTTTCCGACGGTCTCGACAATAACGTAGCCTAGGAGAGCCTAGGAGAACGAATGGTTGCGTGCGGATAATCCGGGATCGGCAAAAACGATTCAGCTCCACCGACACGCCGTGCAACTTAAGCGGCGAAATTGTTATTTCGTGTGTGGCACGAACCGCATTCCAAAGTGCGCGGCCGCGTAAATGCTACTTCGCGAAAATGCGCGCCCATCCTTTATACATTCCTCCTTTTTCCGTCGCTTTTTTCCGACGATGCTTCCTCTTAGTTTCCCTATTCCCGCCCACTCGTGAATACCGGTGTCAGTGCACTTGGACAGAGAAAGAAAAGGAGGGAGGGGAGGGTGGGGTGAAAAAAAGAAAAGAAAAGAAAAAGAGTGAAATGCATTCCTTGCCTTATCCCGGGGAAAACGTGAGTGGATCGCAACAAACGACAAGGCAGGCATTGGACGGTATAGGACGAAGTAAAAAACGGCGGGGAAGGAGGAAAGATTGGTCGATAGTATCCGAGCTCCCCGAACCATTTCGGATTCTGTTGCTTTTTATTATCATGTTCGATCGGAATATTGCCTTCGCGCGGCAGAACGCGTGTACATACCGTGTGTCATGTCAGCAACACCGTGAAATTGTGATTCGCGAGAACCGTATGGTGTGCCATGACCAGCGGCTTTTGTCTCGCGAACAACGCGACGGAGTGCCACAATTTGTGCGCGTGAATACATGCGTGCGAAACACTACGCGGAGCATATATCTCAATGCCGTTCTGTCCTTCTCAACAAACACATCGTGCGCGAAATGAAACGTAATGAAATACAGGAATGCATAAAACCGGGCTCTTAATTCCTCGATAAAACACGTTATATTGAAAATTATAGCGAGGGAAAATAATAAATCGCATAACCGGTTTTTATTTTATGTATTATTTTCGTAAGCAAAACCAAGAATTATATGTCAAATTGCACTCCATTTTTTCAAATAAGAGAAGTAGAGGAATGGAAATCTAATGAGCTAAATCTGCTAAATCATTTTTTGAACATTATCTTCTTTTACAAAAATATACCAAGTATAAATACCGAGTATAAAGACGTATTAATTTTGTGTAGAATGTAATATATTTTATTCTATAAAAATAAAAATTAAATATATTCTCACTTTTGTATACAAGAGCTAATCTTTGCTCGAATTGTAGTTGTCAGTAAACTGATCATTTCGCGAATTATGTATTCTGTGTAAATCCTTATCTATCAAAGCCTATCGAACAAAGTATTTGTCACCGGACGACATATGTTAGTAGCTTTAGGTAAACTACTGTTTTAGCTTTTATTAAAAGCTAAAATATTCCCTGGATAAGGAAGTAACGAAACGCGCGCTCGAAACTTACCCAGAATTTCCGGTACAGCGAACTTTAGTGCGCGCCCGGTTATCTTGTACGGCGCGCGCGGAGATAGACGCGGAGGACGAAGATGATCCTGATACGAGAAATTCAAGTGAAGTGTGAAGATAACGAGACGGGCCCCGAGACTGTGCACGGGTGTGAAAAAGAGATGGCCGGGTGAGAAAGAGCGCGCGCGGAGGGTAGACAGAGATAAATGAGAGTAAGGGGGATGGGCACGAGCACGAAATATTTGAGTCGCGTGACACTGTGACGCCTGTAATGCAAGCCGAGGTTTAACCCCGGCCGGGGAACACTACGATTCTCTACACGGCCACGGGGTTGAAAATGGGCGGGGATGGATGATAGAATGCATTATTCAATGCGATTAATCGACGACATAACCGAATGTCGTATCAGGAAACGCAACGAAGTATCTGTGTGCAACGTGGAATGTTAAAGTAATATACGAATACGTACATGCATATACATATATAACATATACACATATTATACATAGTAACGTAAATAAAGAGAGAAATGATCAGAATTATATAATCGATTTAACGAAACTGGACTTTATAACGGCAAGAATGACTAACGCATTGTTCAGTCATAAACGATATATCATCGCGGAGGTAAATAAGTTAAAATCTCACATTTTTGCTGAGATCCTGAAGTGACACGTCCTACTTGAGGTCCGCATTTTCTCCGAGTAAAAACTTGAAGGGGGAAAAAAGGCTTTGTGCTACAAGCGTTTTACTTTCTTCGCGACTGCGTTGAACATTGTGTTAAACACCGGTGCACCGGTTGCCGGGTTAATGCACTGTTGGCTTATGATAAAATTAAAGGAACAAAAGGAAATTGGGAGGAAAGTGAGAGAGGAAGAATGATGAAGTATGAAATATTCGTGTCGCGTGACGCTGCAATTTATCCGTCGGTGCAACGTCGTTAATACCGGTGCCTACGTACCGTGACTTTGTCACGGAGCGGCACGCTGCATGTGAAGAGAGTAACGTGTAACGATCCGCGCGGAAACGCAAGGTGTACACAAGCCGAGAAGGCGGATTTATCCCCCCGACAACGTTTGCAATCATTTCGCAATTACGAATGCAGCGGAACAGCGAAGTGACACGGGCTGGCTAACGCGATGAAAATAAATTGTGAAATAACTAACAGTCTGCGCCCCTTTCCCCCCCTCCCCCGAATCGCGTACATATCGAAACGAATTGATTAATAAAACACGTCAACAATATCGGCGGCGACGAGACGCCGATAAAAGATTGATTAAATGCGCGAAAGCGATTACTGGGACTGGAAACAGCCGTGAATAAATCACACGTGGATAAATGGCGTGGATATCGCGAATAAATTTCTATATCTACGACGAGACGAGATCGATTATGCGATAATAAATAAATTGTATAAATTGTCGCCAGCATTAAATCTAATAAAATAACGAAGAACTTCGGTGTCCTATCCTCCCCGTTCCTCTCACATATCTCGCGACCGAACAATTACCTGTACTTCTGTATCGGCGACAATATCGCCATGGGCAGCCCCGACGAGATCCGACCATCGTTCCACAATTACGGATGCACCAAGACGGAATACAGCGAAAGGAGGAACGAGGAAGCGGGGAAGGAGAGGGAGGGACAACACGACGGAAATAAATCTCCGCGTGATTGATCGTTCGCCATGAATCGCGCGTCCGAGCGATATTAATGCACTATCAGTCGTGACGGGTTTGCGCGGATGGCTCGCGTGTACCGCACGTGTAGCTTTGACGAGTCTGTCGCTCGTCGCCTCCGCCCGATATTTATGCGCTCGTTTTTTCGCAGCAAAACGAGGGTTACGAAAAAAAGAGCAGCCGGCTCCGCCTGAAATTTCACGCGCGTCGGGATATAACCGCACGTTTGCTACTGCGTTTCCCGTTTCTTCTTCTTCTTCATTCGTTCGTTCGTTCTCTTGCTCCACTTTCCTAGTGTGTCGATGAGTCCGGGAAAATGAAGCACGACAGCCGGCACCATCGTGAAACCTGGCGTAGCGGCGTAGCATAAAGAACGATCTGGTTCCCAATTGATTAATAAAGTTTCGCAACTAGATATTTTATCTATCCTTGTCTGCATTTAAAAAAAAGTTGAGGTGTAATCGGAATCATAATACTGATATCTTTCCTTCTGTTTTGAAAAACAAAATTGCTCACAATAGTCAGATATTTCTTATGAGTAAAACAATTTTTAATTATATTTCAAGATAATAGAGAAATAATTACTTTTACCGATGAAAAGGTATATAAATGTTCGAATAAACTCAAATGTCTGATTATTTCCTGTTCTACTTTTAGTGTGGTTATATTCGACTTTTAATTGTATTTTATATTTCAAGATAAAAGAGGGGATATAATTACTTTTACGGATGAAAAGGTATATAAATGTTTGATTAGACTCAAATGTCTGATTATTTCCTGTTTGTTCTACTTTTAGTGTGGTTATATTCGACTCTGAATTCTATTTTTCTAAAAGAAACATTACGTTTAACATCAATGTGAGACGGAGGATCAGGTGTAATGGAGATGTTCGAAGAAAAATTCCCGGATTGCTTTTATAGAGAAGCGAAAGACAACTTCCTCTGTAAGAGGGTTTGCTTTGTAATCAAGTTACATTAGCAAAACCGACCACGCTGCGTAGTCTAAGAATTCATAATACTGATCTGCGGGAATCGATTTCCGATTGGATATCGGACAAGCCTCCATCCGCGATCCGATCGCGATTGCCCCGACCACGATTCACATTGTTTCGCAATCAAAGCGGCATGCTTCCAGTGTCGCGAGCTTGTCGACATCGATCAACGCCTCTTGCTGCTAATATTCAAGCCCAAGGAAATGTATAATTAACCGAAGTGCAAGATTTTTAACGCTTTGCGACACTGAAATTTAATTTACCGAAACTGCTTTGTATTTAAACATTTTTTAGTAAAAAATTAACTAAGGTGTAATAAAGTGAAGAAAATATTACTTTTCATCATGTATCAAAAATATTATCTACTGCAAATATCACGATGAAAAAGATCCTCGTGACCTATATAGAAAACAATATAAAAGAAGAATAATTCGACTCTCTTTTTCGGTGACTCTCTATCTATCTAACTGACTACATTTCCTCTCACGAAGAGCCTTCGAATATCGTAATCCGACACCTTGATGGATCAAAGCCATGACAACGTCGTTAAAGGAGGAAGGAACTGGCGGTTCCCTCGTCGTTTCCGCTTCTCCTTCCTTTATTCCGGTTGGTGGTATTTCTCGAGCAGCGTAATGTCAGCAACCGCTAAAAAAAGCGTTCAAGAGAAGAATGTGGAGTAGTCTTACCTCTCCAGAGGCGACCGCCTCGCCCGGAATGAAGAGTTCCGGGTAAACGTTGTCCAGGTACCACTTGAACGACTTGCATCCCAGTTTCTTCCTAAGAGCCTTTCGCTCCGATACGTCGCCGAAGTTCCCCTACAAAAGTGCAGTCCGATCATACTCACAATGAGACAAAGATGAAAAATATGGAAATCATGTAGATATTAAAATAAAAATAAAAATTTAAAAACAAAAATAGCAATTTAAAAATTTATAAAATAAAAATTAGTATGAAAAAGACAGTTAAAAATAATTATCAATTAAAAATAAAACAAGATACAGTAAATTTATAATTCATAGAATTTTTAGATCCTCCAGAGTGAGAGAAGATATTCTTTAAGAATTTTTTTCAGTTATGTTTCAAATTAAATTATAGAAAAAAAATCGATAATACAAAGTATATTGTAAAGAGACGTTGTTTCTATATAATAACTATGACTATTTGTCTACGCAATAAAATGTAAAATGTTGTATTCAACATTAGACCGTTTTGGGATCTCGTGTCTAACCCAACCGTTGATATTACTACTGCGAACGTTTACTTGTGCCTAAGGAGGTAAACAGATAGCGATTTATCTCATTATATTATGAAGCCATCTATGAGGACGACATCTTCGATAGATTCGATCATTACATAGAGCGACGTGCTTACGAAAGCGATTTATTCTCTACGCTTCGATTTATCTCGCCGATTGGATCTCGGCAGGAGAGCAGGGGCGGACAAGCATCAAGGATAAATGACAGATCGTTATAGAGGGGAACGAAAGAAACGTCCTTCAGGAGAGCGAGGACATGTGCGCGAGCCTTAAGGGCACTTGGCGCGTTTATGGCCCTTTTTTACGACGAGTCTTGGTCTATGATCCTCTCCATCATCGGCCACCTTTATCGTTATCCTTCATCCTATCCCAACCAACCCATTCAATGTTTACGAGAAACTTGGATTAAAGAAATATAGTCTATGGGTTATCAACACGCCGTGGCAAAAAAAAAAAACGGAATCCATAGCTCACGTCAAAAAATAATTTATCATTAATTATCTATTAGCTGTGACAGAAAGGGCGTGTGTTAAAACTCGACATATCATATCTCTCATAAATTGTCCGTTGTAATCGTTGCACTTCTACGTTATAAGGATGTTCTGTACATTTACCTGAATATTGTAATGCTGAACATACTATATTTTTCTAATTTCATCCGCATATAAAATCCTTCTCTTATTTTACTTTCCAACCCGAATTCTACGTTGAGCTCCCTGCAATAACGCGCTACCTTGATTGTTCCCCCCCGTTGGATTTTCATGAGGGGTCGTGTACGAAAGGAAACTTATGCATGCGACAATGCACAAGTACTCACCTTGTCGTGACCTATCCTCTGATAGTAGTACTTGGCGTACTCATCCAGCCATACTTCGCTCAGCCTTATGCTGTTCCTCTTGAGCACGTTCACGCCGCTGCGCCACTTGTAAGGCGAGCGTTTCCTGAAGATGTGACCCACGTGCGAGCACGGCACGATTTCCAGGGTGCCTGCGAGGGCGTCGGGTTTATTGGATTAACGTTTTCGGCTGTATTACGTTTGTACGCTCTCGGTTAATTTTGAAAATCGCGTAAATGCAAAATGCGAGCAAAGCATGAAAACAAACATGGAATATTTGTATGAAAATATTGATGCACTTTTTGCAAAACAGAGGAAAATAAAAATATAATACATAATAAATTTGAAACAATTCGCGTCGAGAGCAAAATAAAAAAAAAGATGATGAATTTTTCCGTATTATAGAAAGAGAATGCAATGGTTTGAAACATTAGTTTCTTAAATTGGGGAAATAAGGGATATTGGGGGGGGGGACTCTTTTTTTTAACATAACTCATCGTTCTTACCTCCGCACATCCAGGTTTTAAATGATAATTCAAGATTCTCGCCGCCCCAGATGTCGAAGCCGCTGTCGTACGTGCCGATCCGTTCGAAGAAGGCTCGATCTATCGAAAAGAGGCCGCCAGCCATCGTTGGCGACCAAACGGGTTCGGCCGGGTTTTTGTGCCTCTTTCTCTCCCTCTCTGGCACCGCGTGCCAATTGAACTTGTTAACAAATGTTGATATATGTCAGAAATATTCGCCCGTAAAATGAGCTGTCGTAACTTTTTAATTAGAAATTACTAAGTTGATGTAGCTTTATAAAATAAGAGCATTTAGAAAGTCATAATGCTGTCAATCATATTTTTCAGTTTTAATTAGTTCATTTTTTAGTCGGCTTTTGTGCATTCAGTGCATTCTTTTAAATAACGATACATATATCAATTTTTGCCGCGTAAATAATTAGTCCCACATCACGCTGTCGCGCGCGACAATCAATTGCATTCCACCAAGACAGACGTATTCTCTGCTATCGTTTCCCGATGCTCGCAAGAGAGCAGCAAGAAGATTTCGTTTACCTGGAGATTCCAATCGAATCCACCGACATTTACGCCGCCCGAGTCGCGCCAGTGGTATTCCAGAGTGGTGTCGTCTATAACATCGATCACCGGACAAACTACCGTTGTCGGATCGCGCGCGATGCGATCCAGAAGAGGTTCCAGCCAGCCCTCCGTACATTCGCAGTGGCTATCCAGATACGTGAGTACCGGAGCTTTGGCTGCCGCGGCGCCTAACAAGCGCGCCCTGATAAGACCCTCTCGTTTACTCGCCCTGATAATTCTCACTTTCGGATAATTCATCATATAGTCCTCCAACTGGCGCTTGAGATGAGCTGCGGAATGATTGATTTTCTTGTCATTCGCCATTTTGTGTGAAGAAGCATCGAAATAACAAAATAATGTTATTAAAATACTTAAAAAGATATATATTTTATCTTGTTAACTTAAATATTTCTATACATATTTATTTATTCTATTTTATATATTATATATCCTCCGTTGTTATAATTAAATAAACGCAGTATTTGTCACATCGTGTTAATATTTTGCATACTTTTTATAGAGAATGTCGGCATTTAATATTAAACGGTTGCATAATTCATAGCATAATCTCGTAATATATGACGCAGCGTTATTGACGGGACTTGTCGTCTTTAATATCAGGATTTGCTCGAATATTAATCTCGCGGGACTTGCAGGTTTTGTCTCAATACCGTTGTTTGCTAGACCTCCGCCGATTTGGAATATAAGTTACCCGCAGGATCTATGCTTCAGCGAAGGATAAATGTAACAATAAAGTGAATCTACCAGTTTCCCCTGCAAGGTTTCTCTAACGTCGATTACGTCCTAAATGTCAGCTTACGGTTTATTTACGATGTCATTCGCAAGCTGTTGTGGCAACAGCAATCACCCGTTGTAGATTCATTCCCTATTTGCAATCAATTTAATCGTATTAAATAGAAATAACGATAATCTTGTATAATGACGTTTTCCCCTATGTACGTACATATGTATAGATATATTCTTATATACGGATTATTAACATTTTATCGTCGACTTGGTAAAAAGTAGCCACGATAGCTGCTTATAGTTCTAATAAGGATTATGTACGCCCGACTAACCCTTAATCCGCCATTAAAGTATCCTAACGATCGACTACAAAATGAGGATGTAGTTTACAAATTTTATATTTGAAGACTTGTTTAGCAGGAAAATAATAGATAGCTTTATCAAATCGTAATAGGTATTAGAATTGCTGTTGGATTAAAAAGAAATTTATCGCTACAGCATTTTATCATTTTCATCATTTAATCTTTGTCTCATTCGAATATAAATCTTGATTAAAGGAAAGAATGATATCCGACACTGAAAGGTTTTAATGCCACTTTTGAGCGGATATTACGAGGCCTCGATTTGTTATCTCGCGTTATTTCTGACAATCGTAAGCGAGATGTAGATTTACGACGTGTATCCGCCTATAGTTACGAATCGCCGGGCAGCAATTAGCAGATATTCGTGATTTATTCTCCGTTAGGATGGCTTTATGAGGGACCGTGCCACTAATCCTAAGCCTCTGCCCTGTAAGCTCGCTTAACTATGGATAGTATAATGGGATTCCACGGATCAGCGTGTTTCGTGCAAGCGCAATGATTACCGGACGAGACGCCCGCGCCGGCTTGATTTTATGCATCCTTTGGTTGGGCTGCGCGCCTGATGAGCTTTAATAAAATCGTCATGCTCGACGTACTTTTGTTTCCATCTCGCTATCTCCAACTACTCCGTACTTATATTCCGTATCGATTCACGGGAAGAATTTTCTCGTGCCGAGATAGGAAAAATATAGATATCGCGGTACGAATCTTGCCGATAGTCGCGAATTGAGAAAATGTTTCTCTGGAAGTACGCTGTAGTGTGTCGAACGAGGCTCGCTACATCATACTCGTTAGCTTGCACTCGAACGAAAGATAGACCGTAAGAAATCAGAAAAGTCAGACATTTAATGTACAAGCAACCGAAGCGGTGCGCGCGTACGCGTGGAATTTGCGCGCGCGGATTCCACGCACATTCCAAACCGAATTAATTTCTAATGAGTGCCTCGAACACACAGAGGCACGCATAAACTGGCTGTGGCCATTATTGCAGATTTCATTATGACTTTGCTGAGTGCACTATATGAGGCGTAGATAATGGAAACGCTCAAAGAGCGCCCAGTCTGTCGCCGTCGAGAGCGCTCATAATTAACTCTGTAATCCCCGTCCCTTATATAAAAGCTAATTATCGTACGTGCGTTTTGTCGAGGGGGGGCTAAAGTCCACATTATAACAATTATTACAACTTTCTTGCGGGCTTAATTAATCATTGAATTCATTTTAATCCACGTCTGCACGTTTTGGTGGACGAAGTAATAATTCTTTAAAATATACTAAAAAGAATAATCACGATACTATATAACATGTATATAATCTATATCGTTGAAAAGAAATATACCGTGATAATGAGAAAATAATTATAGACATTAAGATTCTCATGAATTATAATACCTAGGTTGCAATCGTAAATTAAAAGCATGCAAAAATTCGTTTACCGTTCGCATTTTTTTTTATTAGGTATCTTCGTAAAGGAAGAAGGAAAAACACGTATTAGGCACAGTGTTATAATCTCCTTCTGTGATAAAGCAATCAGCTGTCTATAAATAACACATACAAAGCTCGCCAGGAGATCACCGAAGCAAGTGATTATGTTTATAGGTTTAACTTTCAATCGGGACGAGGGCTTATCTTGAGCTTTTAATAAAGATTGCAGCAGCCATCCTAGCTGTACTGTTTTCTCGAACCCAGCTTAATCTCGGACACCTTTTCTCTCAGGATTTTTATGTTCATCCGCCTGTACTATATGCGGTAGGATTCCACGCGATTACCGATTGCTCTTTTCATTCGACGATGCGACGATTTAACCGAAAAGTAATACGATATTTTTAACGCGGAAATGTGTCGCAAAATTTCATCTATTTCGAAATTGATATTTTTTGTGTATCGGTGATGCATATTTTTTAAATATAACTGACGTTTATATAAGTATAGAGGTCTTTTTTTTTGCTGACAGACATTTAATTGTTAGTTCTACTAGTTTCGTAATTTAGATTTCGATTTAGTGGTTCGTTGCATGAACGTCAGTTTATTCGAAAACATGCAGATACGTTGGAGCTATAATTGCCTTTTTGCATCCAAACAATGCGTACGGGCGTACATATTTGTTTCGCCCGCATTTACGAAATTGCGTGTTTGATATATTTCTATCAACTTCACGTACATGCCTTTAGGCGAGAAACCGACAGATAAACACGAATAATCACATATATACAGTTTTTCAAGTTAATAAAAGTATCAAAACTTGTATAAATGACGCATATTTTTCTAGGGTAAATATGTGTATAGTTCTTCGTTTCGTCAAACGGCATTTACCCTATCTTTATCGTCGAAAAATATAGGAACAATTTCAAATACTTTTTCTTCTTCCAACAAGGAAAGTTCGACAACCCAAAAATTTCTAAAAATCTAAAAAATTGCAGAAATAAAGTACATGTGGAACCTAACTATCACTTATATATTTTCTGTTTTGTTTGACAAACTATTTTAAAAATGAAAATATCCCTCAAGGATAAAAAAGTAAAAAAGTAAAAAAAAATCTGATTTTCTATATTTCTGTTAATATCTCGGATACACTAAGAAATATTGAAAATTCAAATTCTCTTTGAAGGAGTGCTTTGACCCTTAGAATTGTTTATCAAACAGAAAATTGCTATATAATCGAGTTGACGAATCTTTCTTGTAAGTATATCCCGAACATGTAATTTTCGACATAACGTATTCACGCCTGATTTCGGGAAACGAGAACAAGGGAGGACGTTAAACTTATATAGAGAGGCGAGCGGAGTTTGTATGAACCTCTCGTAATTTTCAGAGTGTCTGTAAAGCAGGCTGAGAGTTTCTCTTCTATTCACGTCGCGGCGACACAGTGGAGAGATGGATCGCAATTAATCGATCTATCGCGAAACTACGAAACACTGTCGCGATAACGAATCACCGTTCTGAATGGAGACACGGTTGCACGAGCAAGTACGCGAATATAATGGCTCGCGGTTTCCGTTCGCGTTTCTGTGCTTACGAGTTTCCCCTCTCGGCGTTCTATCGAGGATTTTTCATCGCACGGCGATGAGAGCTGCACGAGGATTTATGACGCTACGGAAACGATATGCTATTCCGCTTCGATCGCGCATAGAAGATATTTCGTTTTGAATCCAAAGTACGTGTGCAGTTCGAGCGATAACGCGAAAGTAACTCGTCTACTTTTCGTTTTTATACGAAAGAAATACTTTAAATATATTATATCGCGCTATGCGTTAGAGACGCAATTTACGTATCAATTTTCAATTTTTTCCCGATAAACGCATGGATTATTTCGCGCAATTTTTCAATAAAAAAAAAACAGATGAAACCTGTTTTGAACCACGTATAAATAAAATGAAGGCTATTTTATTCGTCTATTGCGTGTTGTTATAAAATTCAACGATTTAAGGAAAATAATAACGACAATTTATTAACTTTTCTGTTACTAGTTAGAAAAAGAACTTACGCATGTCGGAGAAATCATCGACCAGAATAATTTCTTGTATGAGATGCTCCGGCGATCTATCCAGCACGGAATGCACTGTACGTAACAATACGGACCAAGCTTCGTTGTGGAAGCAGATAATTACCGCTGTAGGCGGGAGGTCCTTCAAGTATCTACCAGATTCCTTACACCTATAACACAAAGGCATCAAAACGATCATTAAATAAACTGTTAACAATCTGCAGATAAAAGTCATATTATTGTTAAAAATATATGTATATCTTGTACAAATTATCAATAGTACGAACTATCGCTGCACTTTATTTAAAATGTAGATCTTGTTCACATTCCGCTAATGATATTAACGATAGGGAGTTGCGCGATATTGTTTTGCAGAACGAGGGCGTGCACTGTAGATCAGTAGTGCGGCCAAATCGAGTTCTTGATTTGCAGACCGCAACAGGGATGATTACGAGAAACCAATAATATGTACGAGAAGATATGTCAGGAAAATACGGTAATACGATTAAGGGAGGGAATGTTCGCAAACTAAACGCTCACGAGGTGTACGCTCGCCCGAAGCTCGCCGCAAAATGAATTCCAGGGATGCAGGGATTGCGACTTCCAGACCTAGTTAATGCATATACGAACACACAGCTGGTCGCCGACAACACGTCGTGGTTTATGGATACGGCAAATAAAATGTGTGCTTTCTTCGTTTCTTCGGAATATTCGCGAGAGCTCGCGTATTTCTACGTATTAACGTGTACCTACTCATTAAATTTTATATGCGCGCGTCGTATTTATCCAATATTTATTCTGATGCACCTCTATTCGCGATTTCATAGTCTCGTAATGCATTCATTACGTAAATACATTTCTATTCACAATGAATGTCTTCGTAATTAGCTTTCCTATAAATACGTACGTTTCCACCCATGAGATAATTATCATATATTAATTCAAAGTATTCGTTCGTAATTAGCGTATTATACCGCAGCCGAGAATAAGTACATTGTACGCGTTACGTTTGTGCGCGTTGCGTGCTAATGAAGCGATTACGAGAAGTGCCATTCAATAACGGCCATAACTATGATTACCATCTGTGAATAATTTCAATTAACAGCTGCCAGCACGCGCATCGCTCACGAAATGTACTGTTTGCCAAATTTCCGATTTATCCTTCCTGATGTACCGAAGCGAATATCTACTCGTGAATGAGATCCCTTTCATAATCAGTTTCCATGTCAAATTGGAGGCGTTTGTATCAGATAAAATGTAAAATTGAATCTACATCTATACGTGTATATTTTATCATCGGCGTGTGACAAAAACAGCGCGGAGTATGCAAACATAACAAACATCAGTTAACATGAAGAGAGGTTAAGAAAATGAGACGAGGTAAAATAGTTAAACAATAGAATTACGAACAATAATCAGCTAAATAGAAAAGAAAAAGAAAAACTTCTTGAAAACAGTAGTCAATATCATCATTTTGCAGATTGGAGTATAAACGTGGATATACGAGAAGAAGATTACTGAAATATAATATCTATATTTTGTAGCTCTGCAGTAGAAATTGCAAGATAAAACAATATCATTGATTGAAAGTCGATAATATAATATACAGCGGTAACGTAGAGAATAAGTATTTTACATTTCCGTCGCTGTGTAGTTTCACATTCACCCGAAATAAATGCTTAACAAATATAAAGAATAATAAACGATATCACGTTGAATTCCACATAAATTGTCGCGGATATTTATACGTAATTCGTTTTTATCTACGTACATGATAAATTTAACTGCGCTGAAACTTAAATTGTAAATTGTAAGACATGTATCACATGAGATGTAATTAAAATTTTTTACATTGTGCGGGGTAGAAAGGTAGAACTACGATACTACAATAAAATAGCAAAGACAGTCTTCCACTTATAAAAAAGAGAGGTTTAATTCTTCTGTCTCAAATGAATGCTATATCTGACCATAAATTCGTAAAGATAACGATGCACGTCATATTAAAAAATTAATAAGATTAATAAAATTGAGACGGAAATAAAGGTTTTATTCCAGGCTAGAAGAGAGGCCAGAAATGTCTGTCTCAAGAAATTTGATTCGCTTAATTTTACCACAGATAACTGATTCAATATTAACATCATCTTTTTACATCTATTTTATTATTTAATAAACATTAATCTCCTTTTTCTATCTATAATGTACACGACGCTCAAGGAAGTTTTAATCTCTGGGTCTATTATTAAGCAATCTTCTCTGATATATTCGGTGACTGTATTATAGATACAATTGTATAATTTATTAAATAGCAAAGTATAAATAAATATGGAAGTCCGAATATATTATGCAATCTGCTTATTATTTGCCTAGTATTTAATTTTTATTAATACTTGTTTTAATTAAACTTCTATTAAAAGTTAATGAAGTTCGAGAATATATAATCTATTTCTAAAAGTTTTTAAAGAAAATATTTTATAGTAGCATTTATTGATTTGCAGAATATTATATGTACGCGTGTATATATAAAGTTTTCATGATGATAACAGAAACGTAATATGATATTAATTGAAAAGACTAGAGTTTGTTTTCATATATATTCCTCTAAACTAACATTTTATCAGCGTAAAACGTACGCTTCCTATGTTATCGTTGATTGCGTATCTGATGCGCCTTAACCATACATCAGATAAGCTTTTGACTAGAAAAGCAAAAGAGGCTCGCAAACGCTCGAGCTGAATCAACGCTATTTGCATTTGCATTCCTCTCATCCCGCATTAGTTTGTGTACTCAATTTTAGCAGTAAAGCCGGCGAAATTCTCATTTTCAAATGCGGAGCACTTGCGTTTTTAATTTCCAACATTGTCGGTGATAAATCCCGCAGTAATAACGGCTTCCACGGAGAAAATTCTGGTCGCGGTTTGTCATTATTATCGCACATAATTCTTGCAGCAATAACAGGTTTCTTAATCTCCTTTTCTATAAGTCATTTTTAATTATATGAGCAATGGTACTCTTTACGTTATACCATTAATAATTTGATATAATTTATGTAATTTTTATGAAAATTATAATGATACATCGACTATTTGATATATCAACTACTCGCACATGACTGATCAATGTAAGATTTTTCCAGTTTGTTAAAAAAATCTCTAACAAATTCGCACGTGTGATTTATTAATTCATAATGGTGCATTGTTAAATATTAAAGGATAAAATTTAAATCAATACCTTGAGTTAAATAATATTTTGTTATTTTTAACTGCCATGTGTGTCGAAATTTATCATTTTAACACAAAACAATATTATTTTAACTCCATTGATTTAGTTAAATTAACAACATATTGAGCAGGAGCAATGGCGACTTATAGGAATAATTGAAAATAATTAAAATCGAGTACAATTTGATATTACGAATTTAACAGTGTATCCGGTTAAATAAACCTAAAATCGCAATCTTCCGTTTAAATATTATACCAACGTTCAATTTATATAACAGAATAAATCATTCTATTAGCCGGACGTGGGGGAGAATTTGCCTATCAATGCGTATTTATGCTGCTCGCGCAGTTTGAAAGTAAATCATGGCAATATCGTCACAATCATATTAATATCGCGAGAACGCGCGGCCGCGAATATAAATCGCGCGGGCGGCACGGCTCGAACAAAGTGGGAAATCGCTTAAGCCAGTAAACGCATCGATCGTTTCCAGTCGATTGACGTTCAACAGCGATATCCTCTTTCCCGTCGACAAAAGAGACTCCATTGTTGGACGGCGCACGGCGCGCGACGCGCGGCGCTCGGGACGGGTACCTCGAAATCAGCCACGGATATCGAATGAGAAGCGGCTTCTTCGCGCGTTCAGCACATTCGGCGATCACCCTTACCACCCCCTCATCGTTCCCATCCCCTGTCATCCCAATCGCCTAAACCCCGCGAGGCGTTGCACTCGATCAAACGCGTCACGTTTCATGCTGCATCCCTCCATCGCCATCGCGTCGCGTCGCCCGGCCCGCATCCCGGATGCGTGGAATTCTATTTGCAAGTCTCTTCGCCGTAGGCATCTCGCCTGCGGGGGATCTTGACTTGTCTTCGTACGCGGGAAATTGAAGAAATAGGCGTGCGCGAACTGAATGAAAGTCAAATACCGTGGAAGTGAGTGCACGAGCACCGAGCTACGGGGAAACGACGTTGCGCTGTGCGAGAAGAGAATCGATTTCTCGTGCTCAAATTCTTCCTTTGTTGGCCGCGCGCGAGTTTTCGTTTCCAATAAATCGTAATGAGAACATTCTCAGCGATTGCGTGTCCAGGTGGAGTCGATATATTTTGTCCAATTAAAATTCAAATGTGATAAATTATGGCGACCTTTCCGATGAACCACTATTAAAAGTTAATAAAGCTTGGGAAAATGTAATCTGTTTCTCAAAAGTTTCAAAGGAAAGCGCCTTATAATGGAATTTATTGATTTGCAGTATATCCAAGTTTTCATCTCATCCCTTTCGCCCGATACCGCAATAAAATGCGAGGAAAACGTCTTAAAACTCGCAAGGCTATCAGAAAATGCAGAATGAGATGTACAATCTAATTTAGTTTCCCGACGTAATTATATATCTTTAAAGAAAAACTTTCGCAAGGGTAGCATTGCAAAATATCTGTTTCAGCGTTTCGCAGAAAGATAAATGAAAGTTTCGTGAAGCTAATTGCGGCTTTTACGAGGCATCTTTCTTGCCGTTCAAGAATCGTTTGTCTACGGATCTCTAGATTATGTTGCAACATCCGACGTCGACATTCCTTACAAATGTTTTTCTTGTCTTCTTAATTGTACTCGTACACGTTATTCAATCCAAAAATTAATTAATCTATTAGCATAAACAATCAATAACAGTGAAACGATTAACGAATTAATGACATTTTGTATGTCGTGATAACGATGCTCGTGTGGCGTCCGAAAAAGTAATTCGAAAAGTAATCCGAACCTTAGAAATCGTAAAGCGGAAAAAATTGAATACTTCGCGTTATCCCTTGTAAGTTACGCTACATTTGGCTACATCCTTGGAGAATGGCTTCGAAGAGCATCTATATAGATATCCGGATATTCCCGTCATAACCGATGGATAAGGGCGCTGTTCTCGTACGAGATTATAGGACCATCCGGGGGAGAATAGATCCACAT